CGTATAAGAGGAATAAGATAGGGCTAATAAGGGACCCTTAGGGTACCCTTATTACTAGGTCTATTAAGGGTTAGGTTTACCCCTTAAAGGCTAGCTAGATCTTCCTTTTAGTAAGGAAGTAGTCTACCTAGCTTATAAGGGCCTTAGGGAGGTTTAATTCCCTTAGGACCCTTATAAGCTATTCCTTCGATATAAAGTTAAAGGCGCCTTTTATATTTAATAAGAGGGTACTAGTAATAGCCTTCTTATTAGACTCCTACTTCTTTTAGATATAGTATAGAAGGAGGAAGGCTATATTAATAGCTAACCGCTATTTTTATCCCCTTAGCTACGTAGGGTTTAAAAGCCCGGCCGTATTAGCTAAGTAGCTTAGCCGGGTAGTATATAGCTTTTCGAGGACCTTCCCTGAGTAGTTAAGTAAACTTATAACCCTATAGGCTTTAAGGATAGTATAGTCTAGCTTATTTTACTTAGGGAGTATAATTCTTATAGCTTCCTTCTACGCCTTAAGGTAGTATCCTTAGTTAAATAAGGCTTTATAGGCCCTATTAAAGACTATAGGAATAACCTTATAAGCGTATTAAATAGGAAGGAAGCTAAGGGAGTCCGGGCTAAGGGCTTTCTTATTAAAAGAGCTAACGATAGCCCTTTTAATCTTAGGGTCCTTTAGCTCTTACTAGTCCTAATTAGCCGTGCCCTTACTACTTATAGGGCCTAAGGGCTCTTCTTTTTCTAGGCTCTAGGGGGGGCTAAGGGGGCTAGGGCTAAGGTCTAAGGTCGGAAAAAAGGTCGTTAAGAAGGCCTTATATTTTTCCGTAAAGGTATTAGCTTTTACCTCTATCCCTTCTTTTATATATAAGATACTTAGAAGGGTAGGGTTAGCTTTAGCCTTAGTATAGGAAAAAGCTATAAAGATATCCTTTCCTATTACTTCTACTAGGAAGCTCTCTTAGTATTGCTTTTTAGCAGCCCTAATAGCGTACTTAAAGCTATTTTAGGCCTTTATAAAGCTCTTCTAGCTCTCCTTATCCTAGGCTAGCCTATAAGCCTATTAGGCTAGGCTTAGGGCTTTCTAAAAGGAGGTTAGCTCGTCGGTCTACTAAGGTTTAGATCCCTTATAGGGCCTCTTTTTCGGTATTACTACGTTAAAGGCCTCTATAAGGGTTCTTATTAAAAGGGAGGCTATCCCTTTTAAGTCGTTTTATTTTATAGCCCTCTTTATAGCTATAAGAAGGTCCTATTCCTTCTTAGCTAGGTATTCTAAGAAGGCCTTTTAGTCTACTTTCCTATAGTTATAAGTAGTAGGCCTAGCTAATAAGGGCCTATTAAGGCCCCTTAAGCTAGCTTTAAAGGCTATAAGCTTATAGTCTAAGCCTATAGCCTTTAAGAAGTAGAAGTTAGCTTAGGTTAGTTACTTAAAGGGGCTATAGAAAGCAAGGTCTATAACTAAGGTCCCTTTTAAGCCTTCCCTTTAATAGGTGCCTTTTATAGCTACTATAAGGTCCGTTAATAAGGAGGCCTTATAGCGGTTAAGCTAGCTAATAAGGGCTTCTACCTTATAGGCCTAAGAGGATTCCGTAGATAGGTTCTACTAAGGGTAGTATAGGTTAAAGTCCCTTACTAATAGAAAGGGCTACTATAGGAGCTAGGCTATTAGTAGTAGCCTTTCTATCGTAAGGGGCCCTTACTAGCCTTAGCTAGCTAAGGCCCCTTTAGCTTCTTTTTTATTATATAGGTTAATAAGGGTAAACGGCTCGGCGCCTTTTACCCTTATAGCCTATATATCGGGATCGTAAAAGAGGTTAAAGCTAAGGCTAGCTTCTATCTAAGCTTCCTTCCTCTTATAAGCTATAACCCTAGGCCTCCTATCGAGCTTAGGAAAGTTAGTAGAGGGGATAGGGGTTATAACGTTATAGGCCGGATACTATATAAGGATATAGCTATTATCGATCTTATAGAGGTAAGGCTCTTATAATAAGATAAGGTCTATTCTTATTTCTAGGGCCTACTCTAGGATTAATAGGTTAGCTGTTTCCTACCTATTAGTATTATACTATATAATACTAATAGGGTCGTAGTTAGGCCTAGGGGGCCTAGGGGGCTTCGGGGGCCCTATAAGGGTAAGGGGGCTAAGGCTATTAGGTATTAGTTATTCCCTTATAGACTCTATATTATACCTTATTAGTTATAAGGTATTCTCCCTTATAGTTATAGTATTAGACCTTAAAGTAAGAGCACCCTTAGCTAGCCTTATAGCTAGGGTAGCTATAGTCCTTAGTTAAGTGCTTTTCCGGGTAAAAGGCATACTTAATAGGCTGCCGGTAGGTCTAGGGGTTATAGCTAAAGGAAAGGCATCTATAGTACTATATACGTATAGTATATTCCTTATAAGCCTTAACTTAAAGCTATAGGCCTACTATATAGAGGCCTTTTTTCCGGTATTTAGCCCCTATAGCCTCTAACGGGACTACGAAGATAACGGACCCTGCCTTTTACGTTAAGCCTAGGGTGCCTAGCTACCTAAGCTGCCCTAGGATATCGATCCCGCTAAAGGTCTTAGCCTCTACGGCGAAGATATCGAGGATAGGGGTTTCTAGGAGGTTAGGGACGCTCTAGGCTACTAGCTTAGTCTAGCTAGTAAGGAGGTCGGCCGATTCGATAGGCAGTCCCTTAAGGTATAGGGACTACTTATTCCGCTACTCTAGAAGTTTCTTTACTATATAAGGGGCTTTTATTATTATAACTATATTACCTTTATTCGAAGTCGATAGAGCTAATATAGCTAGTTCCCCTATAGCCTTATTAAGCTCGTTACGAAGAGTAATAGGGCTAATAGTCGGTATTAGCGATCCCTTCTTTAGCTTTAGGATAAGCTAGAAGTCTTCTTTTATATTCCTCTTAGCTAGGGCCTTAGCTAGGGCCTTAGCCGGGGCCTTAGGCGCTTTCTTTATAGCGACCTTAGCCTACGAGCTAGCTTTAAGATTTCCTTTTATAGCCTTAGGCTACTAAGTAGCCTTAGGCTAGTACGGGGGCTATTATAGGGGCTGTTAGCGGTCCGGGGTCCCTATAGCTACCTTTTCGAGCCCTTTTATAAGGGTCTTATAAAAGGGTTCGATTTTTTAGGCTTCCTTAAGGGCCTATAGGGCCTATTAAAGGAAGCCCTAGGCCCGGTCCCTTAGGAAAGGGTGCTAGGGCTAGGGCTAGGGCTACTATTACTATAGGCGTTAAAGTATAAGCCGGGTAAGTATAGGGCTAATAAGGCTACTAAGAGTAGCCCTCTTTTATCCCTTTACCTACTTAAGGGGCTTATTTAGCTAGAAGTAGCTAGCCTAAGGCAGGGATAGGCTAGGCCTAAAGATATTAATCTTAGGCCCGCTAGGCCCGCTAGGCTAGATCGGGCTAGTAGCCTAGGTAGGTACTAGGCTTATTTTATTATCTTCTATCTTAATATCCTCTTAGCCTTAGTCTTAGTCTTAAGCTTTAGGCTTCCCTTCCGGGGTTCTTAGAGGGCGTTAGCCTTCTAAGGCTTCTTCTAAGCGGGCCCTAGCCTCTAAGGTGCTTATTTCGTCCCCTATATTAAAGGGGGTCGAGGGGGCCCGCCTAGGGCCTAGGCTAGGGTCCTAGGTTAGGTCCGGGCTTAGTTACGTTTACGGGGGGTATATATTAGTTAGCGAGGGCGGGGAAGGGTTTTCTACCTATACGGGGGAAAACCTTGCCTAGCTCGCTATCTTCGGTAGCATATTACGCACCCGCTAGTAGCTACGCGATGCTGCACTTAGGGGGGCGTAATATACTATTCGCGAGGGTTTTAGGCGTATGCTTTTTTCGTATTTTAGGCTTAGTTTCGAAAAGTTAGCTAAAAAGATATAGTAATATTAAAAGATTTATATAGCCTAGTACTTAAAGAAGCTCGCCGCGGGCTATAATAGTATATAAAGAGGAGTCGTATTATAATAGAGACCCTATTAATATCTCGCTTATATATACTTAACCGCTTAATAACCGCGGCGCTATTCTTATAAAGGAAGCCTTAAACGAAGTTATATACCTTATTATAGGTTTTAAAGCCTAGGGAAGGCGGTAAGGGTAGGATCGTATCTTTACATTCTTAGTAAGTATTATAAGTATCGTAGGCATTATCTAATATATTAAGGAGGGAGAGAAAGGGGTCTATCGTAGCGCTAGTAATAGCTTTAAATTTAGTATATATATATAGGTTATATATATATACGGGCGGGCGTAGGCGCGGGTATAGGTATTTAAGCGGTATAAGTACTTACTAGGCGCGTATAGTATAAATAAGCAGGGCGGGCTAGCTTTAGTATATATCTTAAAAATAAGTCGAGTATATAAATAGTAATATACTATTATATAAATAGCAATACTCTACTAAATTTAAAGCTATTACTAACGTCGTAATCGATAAACTTAGCCGTAGCCCGCGGTCTCTTATAGCGTTATAATAAGGATCGTAATAGAGATTTAGTCTTAGGTAAATAATAATACTTAAAGAAAAATACTAAAGTTATATATTTATATTTACTATTTAATACTAGTTATAATTAGTAAGCGTATAGACTTTATTAAAGAGAAGATAAAAAAGCTTAATAATAGTCTCTTACTTAGTAGCCAGAACTTTTATTACCCGATTATAGTATATATATATAAGATACGGATCCGTATAAGTCTGCTATCTGCATCTTGCCCAGACACGTGCTTAAGTACCTTTCCAGTAGCACCTACCTAGGTAACTTGCGTGATGCTTGCATGAGCATGTAAACTTCGGCCCGACCTTGTCTCGAGTATGGTCTCCAACCTCAGGGGACTTGGTCATTATAAATATAAAGAGACACAAGACAAGTACTGTACACTCCGGGTCGGTTCCACATCATGTCTTGGCACAATCCAGTGATACTCCCCCGCTCCCTGCACCTCGGCAATTTTTCTATCCGGCCCATGTCTGATGCCGCCGCAACGTTGCCCTCCAATCTTTTCCACCATCATATCTCGTGGCTCCTCGTCTGCCCGTGGCTGCTCGACCCCGGCGCCAGCCGTTCCCCCATCGCGGGCTGGAAGCTCAGCCTCTCCGCTTCCTCCATTGCCGCATCGTGCACCATCTGCGCCCCTTGCTCGCCGCCAGCAGCTTCCGCGGCCCTCAAGTTTTCTTCAACCTGCCGCATCCGCCGCTTGAATGCCAGCCGGTCCAGGAACAGCTGTTGCCGCCCGCGCTCCAGCTCCCGCCTCTCGGCGCGCAGTGTCGACTCCATCTCGTTGAACAGCTTGAGCTTGAGTTCCAGCTTCTGCAGCGTCACGTTGGCAGCCGCTGACACCAGGCGAGTCATTTCGCGCTCCTCGTGCGACGCGAACGCGGCGGCACGCCCCCCTATCGAAGCCAGGGGAACCGATGCCAGCGTAGTCTTGCTGCTTGTCGTCGTTTCCGTGGTTGTAGTAGTTGCTACCTTCCGGGTAGTCGTCGTCTCCTGGCGCACATCCACATCCATTGAATCTGCCTTGGTCGGCTCGTCATCTTCATCCCCCCCCCCCTGGCCTCTGCGGTTGTCCTGCCCGTTGGCGTCTGACTGCTCCTTGCCCTGGTTACCATGGAGCTGCTTCTGGAGGCTCCGCTTCAGCTCGTCAGCCGACTTATGGGCTGCAGCAGCTGTGCTGGCAGGATTGGCTAAGCTGGCAAGAAACCCAACCACGGACATGACGGGATTATCCACTGAGCTGAACGGTAACTGTCCATGCTGAGACCCGAGCATGGACAAGCCCGTGGGCGCGTTGACGGGCGCTTCCGAGCCCAGGTACTTCTCTTCAATATCGAGCTGCAAAAATTGCAAAACACACTCCTCGCGAGTTCGGGTGCCGACATGGTCTGCGATTTCTGCCCAGTCCTCGTCAAATCGCTCGAGCCCCTCGAGAAGACGGAGGATTTCGGCGTCGGACCATGGAGCATCTCGCTCAATGCCACCTTCGTAGGCTGGATTTTCAATCTTGGTGTACATGCTTGACGTGTGGTTTGCAGGTAACCGCCCTTCAGTGAAACACAGCGGGCACACGTGATACTTGGCTTTTGAGCTCGAGTCCATCTGCGCGCTGTGGAAGTAAACACGTGTGCAGTCGCTTCCGCACTGGTGACAATTCACTTTGGCCACGGGCACCGCCGCGGCATCTTCTATGCCAGACACGCCGTTTGTGACAGGTGCCTCGCCATTTGTCTTGTTTTCCACCTTGGCAATGGGGGTTCCTTTGGCGCTGGCTTCGTATATGTTCCGACCAATCTCCAGATTCAGGTCGGCTTTGCTGGTGGCCGCCGCGTTCGCCTTCCTGTCGGTGTCGGTGTTGCTTTTCCCTTCCAACACCACAGGGTCGGCCGAGGGCTGCCAGGCTTGAAGCCCACGAGGAGTATCGCAGATGATCTTGAAGTGCCCTGTAAAGGGGGGTCCAACGTGAGAGGGTCTTTGGTCCGCGTCCACCTGGTGGCCTGTTAGTCCATTTTAAGCACGGCTCGCCAATCTAGGCGGCGGGCCAGGTGTGCTGAAGAGAAAAGAGGTACCTGGTAGTTGATCAAACCCCATTGCTCGAGGAATGCATGCACTCTCATGATAGCACAGACGTCGCCGGCCAGGTTGCGTCGACAAGCCGTGACGGTAAGGTATTCGGCCGGGTTGAGCCGGTAGGTGTTGATCATGAAGTCGCGATAGTCTTTGTAGACAGCCGAAGTTTTGCTCCTGTTGCGACTGTTGAAAAACTCGGCCATGGCCTTCCGCTCAATGTCGTGAATGGTGTTCATGTCGAACCAGGTACTGTAGCTGGGCAGGACAATCGCGTGCGTCTGGGAGACGAGATGGTCACGCGCCGCCGACTCGACCTTTTCCTTCGATTTGGAATCTGGGCCGTCGCTGGCAAGGGCGTCTTGTACTGAGGCGGCAGGCTGTCTCGAGTCGACAGGCGCATCGCCCATCTCCTCGTCCGGTCGGACCGCCCTCTCGGCCGGGGGACCCTCTAGAGCATCGAGAGGATTGGCAGGTGCCACACTTGCGCCCGACGTGGCGGTGTCGAGTTTGATATCTGGTCCGTTCCCTTGGTCCTCCAACATCTGGACGTCTTTGGGACAACTTTTAGTTAGCCGCAGGTGAGCGGGCATCTGGGCTGGGCACCGTGTAATTAATTACCTTGCCCATCGCCAGCACCGGAGTCAGGCTGTAGCGGCGGCTGCGCCAAGATGGGATTACCAATTGGCGACTCTCCATTGTCGGGGGAACCATAAGTCGCGGAATCCTCCATGACACCTTTCGCAGCCTTCAGGACTGCAGCCGGAGGAATTGATTGTAGCGACGCGTCACGCGCCCCTTGCGGCGGCTGGTGATGTCAAGGACAAGCTAGCGAGCACTTGAGCTGATGGTTGAGCAGCAAAGGCGATAGGGCTAAGGTTGTCGGAGTTCGCTGCAGCGACAAGCCGGGAGGGTAGGTGGTGTTTTGACGCGACAAGCACGAGGGCGGACTCTCTCAGCATGATGGAAAAAGCAGGGCGCCGCCTGCGTAAACGTCTAATTGCGTTCCGCAAGGTGACTAAACACGTGACATTTCGGCTTTGGTTGCGTTCTCAGCTAGAGACTAAATACCCCATAGGTCACGTGCGTGCCATCCGTCTTGATGAAGGTAAGTAGGCACCAGTAATTAGAGCGCTCCCTGGCGCGGAGAACGTCTTACCTCGGGCCGCTCCCAGCCGCCAACTTCCATCTCCTGGAAATAGCCATTCGTCAGACCTGCGAGCGCCTACAATGTTTCCTGCCGCCACAAAGTTCTTTGGACGGGTGAGCCCGCCCGTGGGCCACTGCGTGTCGGGCGCGAGTAGGAGTGCCATTGGCAGGCGGCTGTCGACGCTGGCTGTCCTGGAGCAGCGAGGCGGGCAATTGAAGCACGGGTCATTGAGGTCCTTCACAGCGGCCCAGAAGCTGGGAGGGCATGTTCACGGTTTCATTGCCGGGAGCAAGGTGACGGCTGCGGCGGAGGAGGCGGCCCATATGGATGGCGTGGAGCAGATCACCACCGTTGAGAACGAAATATACGAAAAGGTCCCTCCCTTCCCTCGTGTGCTCGCGATTGGCGGCTCCGTCGGAGTCGTTTACATGTTTCCAAGGTATTGACTTCAGGCTCAGGGACTGCCTGAAAGCTACGCGCAGCTACTCGTCGACAACATCAAGAAGGGCAACTACACGCACGTCGTCGCTAGTCACACGGCCTTCGGCAAGAGTATCCTACCCCGAGTGGCGGCCTTGCTAGATTCGCAGCAGATCTCGGATGTCACGTCTATTGAGGATGAAAAGACGTTTGTGCGACCCATATACGCCGGCAATGCCATTGCCACGGTCGAGTCGTCGGACCCAGTAAAGATCATCACCATCCGGGGCACCGCCTTTGCGCCTGCGGCCCCTGGGTCGGGATCAGCCACTGTTGTCCCGGGCGCGGACCCGAAAGCAGAGGCGACTTCCGAATGGGTGTCCGAGGACCTCGCCAAGTCGGACCGTCCAGACCTGGCGACGGCGAGCAAAGTAGTCTCGGGCGGCCGTGGCCTCAAGTCCAAGCAAGACTTCGACAAGGTGATGCTGCCCCTTGCTGATGCCCTCGGCGCCGCGGTCGGTGCGTCACGCGCGGCCGTAGACAGCGGCTATGCCGACAACAGCCTCCAGGTTGGGCAGACGGGCAAGGTTGTGGCACCTCAACTTTACATGGCAGTGGGCATTTCAGGCGCGATTCAGCATCTGGCCGGCATGAAGGACAGCAAAGTCATTGCCGCCATCAACAAGGACGCCGATGCGCCCATTTTCCAGGTGGCGGATGTGGGGCTGGTCGGCGATTTGTTTGAAAAGGTGCCAGAGTTGACAGGAAAAATCCGCAACTCCAAGGCGTAGATGACAGTAGGAACGCGTTAGCTTAGGCCACGGAGCCGTCACTTGATAACCGACAACATGTCTGCCGTGCCTGTAAATTTCTCTCGTTGTTTGCCCTTCCTCTCCCCGCGCTCCCTCTCGGCCAAGTCTATCTTGCGCCATTCATCCCAGGAAACAAAGAGGGCCGCACTAGGCCCGACCGCTTGCCTCACCGCTTCCCAGCCTCCCGCCGCGCCGACTTGATTTGAGCCGAGGAAGCGGCCGGACTGCCAATCCTGTATGACGGCATCTCCTGTCGCAAACGCATCGTGCATGGTGGTGGCGATGACACCTGTCGGGCCCGTCTTGATCCAGCCCGCGCAGTACAAGCCGCGCAGTGGCTTGCGGGGGGTGTCACCGTGGAGAGGCGGCAATGAGCGCATCACTCGACCGAGGCCATCGTGGTCTAACACGCCCCGCCCCTCTTCGAAGCGGATTCCGGCCTCGGCGAAGCCAGCAAGACCAACCGCCCTGTAGCCCACGGAGCGAATGACAATGTCCGACGGCAGAGTGAGGGTGTCTCCAGTGGCAGTCTCGCGCGACTGTGGATCGAACGGTGCCGCAAGGCTGGTCACGTCAAACTCGGTGCTCGCAACCGCGGGGGGCATGCCATTGCGGGCCAGGAAGCGCTTCGGGGAGAGGCAGCTGTCCAGAGACCATGACTTGGGCGTGCTGGTGGATGGTGCATGGCTCCCCTTGATCAGAACCTCCATGAGCCGTCTCGGCACCCGGGGAAGACCCCTGACATCATCTGGTATGAGGGAACGTTGAACGGGATGAAACGCCACGTTGGGAAGCTTCATGAGCTCGCGGACTTCCTTGATGGTAAAGGCAGCCTAAAAGGACGGGCCATGGTTAGCCCACAAAGATGGTGTGAATTCGACATCAACGACCAACCTGCATTGGCCCTCTCCTCCCAACCACGCGTACTCTTCTGATTCGGCTGCTTGCAAGCTGAGCGAGGGCGTGTTCCGTAATGTCCGTCGCCCTCAGGATGTCGACGCCTGCCAACAGCATTCTGGCTAGGTCCAGGGCGACGTTGCCCTGCCCGATGATGACAGCCTCCTCGCCACGTGTGAGGTCGGGCGCCAGACCCGCCGAGTCCGGGAAGCCATTGTACCAGCCGACAAACTGACGGGCCGAGTACACGCTGCCAAGGGTCGCCTCGCCGGGGATGCCGAGCTGTCGATCCTCGGAAGCCCCGTACGCCAGCAAAATGGAATCGTAGTGGCGCATCAGGGTTTCAAGCTGCACCGTGCAGTGCTCGGCTGAGTGTCCACTGCGGCCGACGGATACATTGCCAATGAAGCGGAAGTTTGGGGATGCGGCGATCTCCTCAAACCTGCCCTGGCAATTCTGTATCGGTTGTCAGTAAGGTTGCGTGCTGGCGGTAATGAGTGCTTGCTTGCCTTACTTTGACCTCGGGGTGGTCTGGAGCAACCCCGTATCGGACCAAGCCAAAGGGAACAGGCAAGGCCTCGTACATGTCAACCCGCGCGTCTGGACGCCGCGACATGACCCTGGATGCCGCGTAGAATCCCGCCGGGCCGGAACCGACGACGGCGAGGCGTGGCGCAGCATCTGAAGAACGAGCCAGCGGCCTGGAGCATGCGGTGGAATACTTTGGACCGCGGAACCGCCGCAGGCGACCTACCAGCGGTTTCGGCCCTGGATGCATGCTCGGTCGCGAGGAGCTGTCGGCGCTGTCATTTGCGGCTACCAGAGGCGCTCTCTAGCATGCAAAAGCGAGCGCAGCAAAGTCTCACCCAATTGAATTCACTCAAGTCGGCGTTTGCGCGCGGTCAAGTTCTGTACTGTATAGGTAAGTACCTGGGCAGGTGTCCTAGGTACCTACCTAGGTAGGTAGGTATCTAATTATCTGGTAAGGTAGAACGGGTATCGAGAGCCGAGATGACAGTCATCCCGGGCGAGCATGTACTGCACAGTACGTACTCCCCTCTCTACCTGGCTGTCTCAGATACGCCGCTGTGCTCGTCTCGGATCGTGTCGCTTGGTTGCCCCGACAACACGATGCCGCAGACAGCTCGACCTCAACACACACGCGCACACACAGCTGGCATGGCGAACCAAGTTATTTACCAGACCCTTCCAGGCCGCAACATTCCAGTCGACGGCATACCGCGTGCAATCTACTCACCACATTCGCCCAGTAATCCGTTCCGCCCAGGCTGCTAGGAGGACCCGGCAGCCCGAAGCCATGGGCACGGCGCCGCCTTTCATGTATAGCGCCGAGAGGCGCGATTCGCGATTCCCCGACGTGCCCTTCGATCCAAAAGTCGTTACTCGGGCTAGCTGGGAGCCCAAGACCAGGAAGGCTCAACCGCGCGGGCCCTTGATCTCTTTGAATCGGCACCCAGAGTAAGAGGGCCACCTCAAGCCCGTGTGCGGATTCAGGCCTCGCTGACACGGGCCTCAAGCTCACACTCAGTCGTTCCGCACCTGTCCAAACAGCCCTTGCCTCTGGGGCCTCGCGCCAAGAAATGGATCAAGAGACTGCGCCGTTTGCAGCTCGGGCTGCGAGTACTGCAGCTCAATGGCGCCTTGGGCACCCTGACTCTGATGATTCTCATCGTCAACATTGAAGCCGTCACGGCCTGGACCCTGAGGATTGCTGTACGTCACGCCGAGCGCCCTTGGGCACGGCTGCTAACTCCATTGTCAGCCCGCCATCTCCATCATTCACACGCTCTACGCCACCTACCACCTCTCGCGCGGCGCTGCCAGTCGCACGCCTGCTTCCTCAGCCGCCTATCACGTTTTCTCATTCGTGGCAGACCTGGGCATTGTAGGCATTTATGCCTTTGGGGCTTTCTCCGTGCACCAGAAGGCAGGCTCCTGGGCCACCCGGTTGACCAACCAACATCTCATGCATGGTTTCGTCCCGGCTGCCTACTATCTCCTGATCGGCACTGGTGCCTTGCATCTGGTCTCCCTGGCCATCTCATTGTGGCTCGGCCTCATGTTCCGGACCATCAGCCTCATGCCGCCCGATATGAACCCTCTCGAGGACCACTTGACTGCGCGACCATCCCGCAAGAGAAACAAGTCATCCATCACGACAACTAGTACCGTTGGCGACGACTCGAGATTTTCGGCTTCTCTCCATGTTCGCAACCGCCCTACTTCGAGCGACACCTCGCGGCCGCCAAGCATCCCTTTCATGCACACACGAGCAGGGTCAAGCCAGTCGACGTCGAGCAAATCGTTGGGGCCAAACGCCCCTGACAGCCTACACCAGGCTGTCCCTGGATTCGCAGCGAGAGCACTCACTCGCTCTGCCGGCCTGCCAACGGCTATGCCTTTCCGTCGCGCCTCCCAGTGTGGATCGTACACAGGTCTGCCAGCAGAAGACCCTGGCCAATATGCTTCCCCAAACGCCAGCCAGGTTCGCATCGCAAAATTCACCGAGACTTGGCTGCCCACAGACTCGCTCATCTCAAGGACCAACCATCGGACTCGCAACACAATGGTTGAGACGGACATGGGCCAGGTACGCGTAAGCCAGCTCTACTCGGCCTTGCCACAAGAGTACAACCTTGATGATTCGTCCGAGACGGAGGAGAATGGCGAGTGGGAACCATCGACTGAGCTGTCATTGGGCAAGCTGCATCCTAACCCGCTCCGATCGCACCCAGCATTGCGCCCGCGAGGCGTCCCTACGACTGGCAAAGCGTACCTGACCGACTCCCAGAGTGCCATGGAGCTGCCGGGGCGAATCCCCTTATCCGACATGAGCGGCAACCAAAAGCAACCTAGCTTGAGCCAAGACATCGCAGATCAGCTGCATGGGCGACCAGGATCGTGGCAGCTACACCGAACAAGTTCTATCCAGGCAGAGGACAACTTCTGTTTGAAATCACCCGGCGAGCTCGTGTGCGCGACCCCTCCGCTCATGATCGGGGGCAACCGAAAGATTTCGTCCGGCAATGATTATGGATTCGAATACTCTTCCATGGCTTACGGGCGACGAAACGTTAGTGGGAAACAGGTCGAGGAAGGGCGAGCAGGCACTCGCGTTCCATTGCGAAGCTGCGCCATCTAAAGCTTGGCCGTGGCCGAGATACGCATGAACGACACCGACCCAGGATGAAAGGAGGTTGTCCAGTTAGTTGTGAAGCCTTTCATAGCCACGCCCGTGATTCGGCATTTTGGTTTCAAGTCTGTCAAGAAATCTGCCCGACTTTCAATGGAACACTTGTTGACGTCTCGACGAGACTCGCGCATTGTGAGAAGGTGATGCCTCAGGAACGTTCCTCGGCATCTCTAGTCACCTCTTGCATACGATCGCCAAGAAGCAGCGGAGCAGGCAGCCGAGTCCCCTCCCCAGCACTTCTCATCCCAGGCCTGAAGCCGACAGAGGTGTCTCATGGTGGGTCGCCCGTGTGGACAGTTCCAGGGCTTGTCCAGTTCTCCCATTTGTCGCACCAGCCCGTACATTTGGTTGAAGGTCAAGGCTTTCCCAATCATCACGCTGCTTCGACACGCCCTCATGGCGAACATTTTCCTCACCTTGGATGGCCTGGGAACGTGGTCGGATTCGGCTGCCTCGTCTCCAAGTAGTGCAATCAATTCTTCCAGGTCGTCGAGATTAAATGTCGTCTCGCGGCTCAGAGGCAGTGCGACAACCTCGCATCGTAAGCCCACGGGCGAACTGCAGCTTGCATCAACAGTGACTTTGAACCCGTTGGCTTCGATGGCTGTGAGATTTCCCATCACGATTTCTTCCTCGAGTGCTGTCAGCTGAAGTTTCTTGGGATGCACGAGCCGTTGTGATTGGACAATTGTGGTGCTTTGCAGCCGCTCGAAGTTATACTTCTCGTCCGAGGCATGCTGGTCGATGATGAAAAGCTCATCATGCTGGGCCCTTCTGGATGGTGCAGCTCCAGGAGTCGCTGGCCGCACGGCGATGATAAATCCCATGTTGAATTGCCCGACTATCCGCATCGCGGTGAAATCGCTCCTCGATATTGTGAGGGTGAGTTTTGATTCGGCATCGGATGCGCCAATGTCTTCCACTTGGTCGGTTGCGGGAGCGGCGGAGTCCCCCGTCCACCGATGAGATTCTAAATAGTCCATTCGCGACCGGATGTCCTCTTCGTCGACGAGTAATCGCTGTACTGCCTGCCAGGGCGTATTGCCCCGCCTGAGGCTGGATTCCGCTGGCTGTGCTTGTGGCGCCGTGTCATATGAGACGTCTGTAGGTCCAAGGCAGGCTTCGAAGCCGGGGTTTGGAGAAGTCGGCTGTTCAGTAGGTGCATCGAGTTCTTTGCTTGATCTGGAGGTCACATCGCTGCCTGGGGATTTCGATCCCAATGCGTGGAAGACATCGTCGTCACTTGGCCTGAAATCTTCACAGGTGCGGGTAGACGACTTTCGAAGGACGGGCCTCATCTCATTAGGACCCCCTGATGGGGGATCCTCTTCATCCAAGTCACTTGGAGGATCTGAGCCGTTTCTCTGTGGAGAAGGCTCCCTGCTCCTAGGCTCGCGGCGTTCACCCCGAAGACGGCCAGCCTCAAGAAGGAGATTGCCATCGCTTGTGGGCGACATACTGCCATCCGTCTTCAATGCGGAGCGTCTGGATGGGCCTTTGAACGGCAGCGGATGAGTGGAGCCACGATTCCCTAGCCTCAGTGGTCGAACAGCACGAACGTCGGATTCTTCCCCGAGATCGTCATTATCATCAGCCAGGCCGTGCACACTAGATGCGGTGTCGTCTGTTGTGCGCTTGGTGGCTGCCAGAGCTGTCGCAGTGTTGTCCGCTAGCCGTGAGTTGAAATCTCTCACGGGCCTCGAGTGATTCAGCGGAGCCCCCTTGGAGGCGGCGGAGACCTTTACTGACAGAGAAGCTCCCGGTGCATTCGAGACAGGTTGAGTGGGTGTATTGGCGTCGGACCCGCGCCGTGAACTCGGCCGCGATCCACTTCTACCCGAAACAGATGCCGTCGGCGATGCTGCAGCTCTTGAATCTTTTTTCAGCCATTGGCTGATCAAGTTTTGGTCGCTGCTAGGTCCGTGCCGCAGTCGGTTCAGGTCGGCGGCGGCGTCTTGTCGCGATGACTTTGTACCAGAGTCTGAATCTGAATCATCTAAAAGACCAGCCCCTGCATCGTCGCTTGGTCGAACCTTGCCTTCCTGCGTTTTTCCGGGTCTCAGTTTGGGGTTGGCGAAAGACGCTATGACCGGACGAGCCGCGCCATCATGAGGATTGGGGCCACGATTGTTACCCCCCGGCTGAGCGATGGGAACAGCACAATCGTGCGAGTCAAACATAGTCGCCAGAGAGGCACGGAGAGTATCAAGAAGTCGGCCTTGGTCGTGCAGGAGGATGCTGCGTTTGTCTGGGCTGACATTCACATCGTACATCTGAGTGTCCAGCCGGACATCGGCGAATATGAAGGGCGACTGTGAATGATTGAATGATCTGTAGACCTCGTTAAATGTCTTGGCAAATTGCGGAAGTCCACATGGCCTCCCGTTGACGAAGAACATCTGCCTGTCTGGCGTCTGCCGACCGTCTCCAGGGGACGGCCGTGAGATGTGGCCGACAACGCGAACCTTGTTGGAATCGGTACCAGGGCCAGCCGTGGCTTCGGGATTGACAGTTGTCGTCGTGGGCTGGATTTCCAGATCCAAGTCCAATGAAACCAGGGCAGACATGGTCTTGGCACCAAAGATATTGATGATGTTCTCTCGGGTGGTAGGATTGCCTCGGGTTGAAAACAAAGCGACCCGTTTTCCCTTTGTAGGTTGCTGCGAGACGGAAAGCTTGACATTTGTCTGAATGCAAGCATACTGGCTAAGGAGAGCGACCACCTTTTGCCACTCTCTCTTGATGTTGCGCTCGAGCTCACGGCGGCGCACAGGAAGATTGTGGAAAAGACCCTCTATCGAGACGATGGTGCCCCTCTGAGTGGCGGCGATGACGATGTTCCGAAGTTGTCCGGAGGGTTCGAAACTGAGTCTGGATCCCTTGGGCACGTCGGCCTGGACGCACGTCGTGACGGTCAGGTTAGAGAGGGCGCATAAGGAGGAGAGGGCCTCGCCGCGGAAGCCAAAGGTCTGCAACGAGGCTATGTCGGCGAATGAGGACAATTTGGAGGTGTGGTGCTTGAGAGCCACGAACGGGTAGTTGGCAGGGGAAATGCCAGAGCCGTTGTCCTGAACCTCGATGAGGTCGAGGCCCTGGTTCTTGAAGCGGACATCTAAGAAGTTGGGCCAGGCCAGTCAATAGTCACGTCGTTATCCATCAAGGAGGGCTGTGAGTAGTGGATGAGCAGGCCAGGATTGCGCACCTATGTTTGTGGCTCCGGCATCGATGCTATTCTCTGCCAACTCCTTGACGACGGAGCAAAGATCAACAATGACCTGGCCCGATTGTATTTGATGGACCTAGAGAGATTAGTGTCGGAACAAGCGAGAAGCGAAGAGGGGACATACACTTTTGCCATCGATGGGCCGAATGTTGGCGGCCATGAGACTGCTCTCCCACGCCAATCAAAGCACATGTGCGCGGGATGGATTGTGAACTGAGGGCCCGGCGTCGACTCCAGGGAAGAGAACCGGGTTTTCGTCTTTGCACAAGAGTGTCGCGATGGAAAGCCGGGGCACAGTGTCTACCTACGTTGCTGATGGCGATGGTAGGCTGGCGTGGGAGACGCGCTAGGTCCACTTGTAGTGCCCCGTACTTTACGCGAAGCAGTGGCCAGATGGCGTCACTCGGACAGGATAAAGGGGGTTGAAGTAGGAGCTCTTATAAACAAGTCTGGCAACTAACTAACGACCGAAAAACTTAAGAATATTATGAGAAGAGGTACCATCTGAACTTGAGGAATATTTAATGGTCAATATACATATTTATATAAGATATAAATCAGTTTAAGCTTTTATAAAGGTACTTGTCACGCTAAAGCAGTGAGTTTACCTGATACCTTGAGGCACTGGCAGCCCGCAAAAGGCAAGGTCGCAAGTTTCTGGAGGTACGAAGTACAGTAAACTGGCACCTGCACGGATTAGGCTTGGAGTAATTAAATCTCCGCATGGATCCAATTCAAAGCCCTACCGTATGTACCTCTGCCTTCGAATGTAAGCCACTCGCCACCGTCCGCTCCTCCCAAACCCTGACTATCCCGAACCGACTTGCCACATTCACGTGTGGCGGCTCTAGGCCTGAATCATCCTGGCTCGTGGCTTTGCTCGGAGCGCCTGCCTCCCCCTCCACTCTTCGCATCTCAACCACCTACCATCCGCCGGCCCATTCGCAACCACCCGGCCACCGCGTAAACGAATCGATCTGCCCTGTCGCCTGGATCTTGTTGGGGTGTTCAGGACGGCATGCGTCGTCTCCTTTGCCAGTGCGAGTGCCATCACCCTGCGCCTAGCTTTCGATCCGCCGGAAGCCTCTGGCCCACGCCGACGGAACCAACGGCGTAGCGTGTCGTCCAAAACCATAAATCACCACCTACCTGCTCGCTTGCCGCCTGGGCTAGATCGGCCGGTGGCACGCTCGCCACTCTGTCAAGCGAACCGTCCTCGACGCCTCGTTCCTCTGCGAGACCTTTCCCGCCTTCTCCCTGGCGAGGAGCGCCTGCACGTCGCTGCCGCGAGCCTTCTCCATGACCAGTCGCTCATCTGCATCGACTGATGACGGCGACGAATCATTCTTTGAGCCGGGCGCCCTCGATACAAACAGAAACTACTTTATCAACGGCCACGGTAGTGGGGCCAGGTCGTCTGCCGCGGGCCTCAAGTCGCGCCCCTCTTCAACCAGAAGCAGGCGTCAAAGCAGCGTCGACTGGGCCCCCAGCAATGGACATAATGGCCATGCGTCAAGCCCAACTGTGACCCCCGCGGCCTTGTCACAGACGCCGTTGCCCGCTGCGCCACCCGCCTGGTCCTTGGGAAAGATGGCGCCGTCTCCCCCACCCCCCAAATCGAGGCGTGGCTCTTGGTCCGTCACCCTTCTCGTCCTCGTCACCGCCGGCCTCGGCGTTGCGATATTGTTCGCTATTCTCAGGTCGCTCCTGAGACACCATGTCGAACCAAAGGGGTGCCGTATGTCCTACATGCGGCCTTCTTACATGCATTTCTCCAGCTTTGATACGGAACACACACGGTTCGCGACCAAATACTCGCTCTATCTATATCGCGAGCAGGGAATTGATGACGACAACAAGGCAAGTGCTCCCATTGTGCTTCTTCCAGTCTTCGACGATTCTGTGGGCTTACTGTTGACCCAACCTGCAGTTGCACGGCATTCCCGTTCTCTTCATCCCCGGCAATGCGGGAAGCTACAAGCAAGTAAGACCGATTGCGGCTGAAGCCGCCAACTATTTTCACGATGCTCTTCGGCAGGATGGCGTCTCGATGGAAGCCGGAGTTCGGAATCTTGATTTCTTCACCGTGGACTTCAACGAGGACATTACCGCCTTCCATGGCCAGACGCTATTGGACCAGGCTGAATATCTCAACGAGGCGATCCGCTACATCCTCTCGCTGTATTCCGACCCGCAACGAGCCGACCGAGACTCGCAGCTACCCGATCCCACATCCGTGGTCATCCTCGGCCATTCTATGGGTGGCGTCGTCGCGCGCGCCATGTTGATCCAGCCCAACTATCAGCCCAAGTCTATCAACACAATCATCACCATGTCCGCGCCTCACGCCCGCCCGCCAGTCACGTTTGATGGACAGATTGTACATATATATGATGAAATCAATGACTATTGGCGGAGTGCCTACGCGCAAAAATGGGCCAACGACAACCCCTTGTGGCACGTTACTCTCGTGTCCATAGCCGGTGGCAGTCTCGATACTGTCGTGCCCTCGGATTATGCCAGTCTCGAATCGCTGGTGCCGGAGACCCATGGCTTTACAGTCTTCACGACCGGCATACCAACCGTTTGGACGAGTATGGATCACCAGGCGATCCTATGGTGTGACCAGTTTCGCAAGGTGGTGGCCCGCGCTCTCTACGACATCATCGACGTCAACAGGGCATCTCAGACCAAGCCCAGAGCAGACAGAATACGGCTTCTGAAGAGGCGGCTCTTACCAGGCATCGAATCCGCTACCGAGAGAACCATTCTGTCGAGGGAAGCCACAACTCTCCTGACCCTGGGCGACGACTCCAGCCACATAGTACCGGCCGGAGTCCGGCTGTCCCTGACTGGCTCAGGGAAGCAGACCAAGCCGAAAGCTCACCTGCTTCCTGTGCCGCCACAAGGCTCTCCCGGCGTGAAGCGCTTCACCCTGTTGACCGATGCCAGTCTAGACGAGGCCGGAGCGAATGGAAACCTCGAAGTTCTTTTGTGCAGCGTCTTCACCTATCAGCCTGGTACGACCGGCTCTGCTTTTTCGACCCATGTTGACTTATCTGGCGGGAGGGCCTTGACGCGACTGGCTTGTAAGAACACGGTGTCTGACGCTATCTTCCTGCCTGCATCTACACCGTCGACTCGGCATCCTTTTACCCTCGATGGCGAGCAAGGTACTCGCCCGTTCACGTACCTGCAATACGATCCCGAACATCTCGCGGAGCATCAGTTCATCGCAGTCATCGACAAGGCAGCGTCGTTGCCATACAACTTCGCCATGGCTGAATTCAGCGACCGGGCAGACTTTCAGAAGAAGCACGAGACGAGCCTTGCCGAGATCCTAACGTTCGGCCTATCTTTCAGCCTGCCTGCCGACAGACCAATCGTGATCGATGTCAGCATACCCGCCGTTTCATCGGCCCTGCTTTCATTCGACCTGGAAGTCAGCCAATCACGCTGTTCCAACCGACAGAGCTTGTTTTCTTTGCTGATACGACAGTATCTGAACAAACCGTACGAGTCCAAGTTCTTCGTTAATGCCGGACAAGCCAGCGTGAGCTTTCATGGTGTAGCTCCCTTTGTCCCGCCGCCGTTGGGATCGAGGGAGAAGACTGGACTTGCCTTCCAATTCTGGTCCGACCCTGCGTGCGACTGGCCTCTCGAGGTGAGCCTGAGGCTCGATGTCTGGGGCAGCTTGGGCAAGCTATACATACGCTACCGGACTGCGCTCGCCGCCTTCCCTCTACTCGTCGTCACCTTGGTACTTCGGAAGCAGTTCCGCGTCTACGATGAAACCGGGATCTTCATATCCTTTTCCGAGAGCTTGGACCTGTCGCTGCGGAGGTCCATTCCGCTGCTGCTGTTGTCACTGACGTTGCTGTCCTCGTCCCTCGGGGCCCTCTCTCTGTTCGGATTCGGACCGTTTTGGAGTCGGGGAAACACGAGACCGTCTCCGGCAACCGGCTTTCATCGAAACGAGCTGTTGATTGGAACCGAAGATTCTCTCTTTTGCTTTTTGATTCCGGTCATAGGCATCGTGTGCGTTGGCGCATGCGCGGTCCTGCACTACATTATGCTTGGGTTGACCCGAGCGCTGGGGCTGTTGCTTGGTCTCGTCAGCTTTGGTCGTCTTGTCGGAGACGGTGCCGATCGGCAACGTCGAGCCGTCCCCTCCACGCCGCGGAGAAGAATGATTTCCACGGCCGTGCTGCTGATTTTGGTATCAACGTTCATACCATACCAGTTTGCCTACCTGGTGGCGTGCCTCGTGCAGATCTTCACGGTCGTCCGCGCTCTCCGCATCGGCGCGTTTGCCGCGTTGACACCAAGTCACAACTACTACCACTATGCCCACTCAATCCTCCTCTTGATGATGTGGGTTCTCCCAGTCAACCTTCCCATTCTCGCCGTGTGGGTGCGCAACCTTGCCGTCCACTGGCTGACGCCCTTTTCCTCACACCACAATGTCCTCTCCATCATGCCCTTCATCCTGCTTGTGGAAAACCTTACGACAGGCAGGATGGTCCCGCAAATCACCAACTCACTACGCCACGTCACAAATGTCTTGTTCTTTGGGACTGCTCTCTGTGCCGCTGTTTACGGCATGTCACATGCTTACCTTCTTCACTATTTGGTGAATGCTGTGGCTGCGTGGCTCGTCGTCCTCCACTCGATATCCGGCTCCTGGTCTTTCACTAGCCTCGGCGCCATGTTCGAGGGAAACGCCAACGATGCACGGAAGGGGGACAAGACTCCTTGAAGGCGTCCTTGCAGGATCGACAACCGTGCCATCGACGTATTCTTTACGCGACACCCCTCTATCCATCATGGGTCGCCTGCCTTGCGATGCGCTGCAGCCGATCCCACTGGTGCTGGTGAAGCGCCGCTAGTATCCTAGTAATCTTCGCCGGGAAAGCGGGCCACGTCACACCCAGCCTTACTTTTCACATTACATATTCACGCTTGCAAGGGCAGACACATGCATGCGCCCAGTCGCCGGTTTATAAACACGGACAACCTGTTTCTGCTTCAGTCGACATTTAATACTTAATCGGCCTCTGCATTGCCGCGGACTCTTATCGTTTGCAGTTGTCAGTCAGCCACGGGGTGGGCTTGTGATAATTTGCTCCTCGCCCTCTGTTCACGCATGCCGTCGGCGCTGTGTCGGTATTGGGGAGCGCAATTCTGATTTTGGTTTATATACACTTGGGAATCTTGAATAACTAGAACTATTTGTGTCGGGCTCGCATCTTAACGAAGCACCAAGGCAGACGTGGCGCATAGTCATGGTTATAAAGTCGGAGAGCGATGATTACCATGGTTGTTCTGCGACACGTCGTGTGCGAGGGAAGGGCGCACTGGATTCAGAAAGGGTCTTTGAAGGGCTGCGTGCGAGTAGCACAACAAGTTTTGGCGATAATCCCGCGCAGTCGGAGCTGCAAATAATACATTATAGAGTATCACTGCGCATGGGCATGCACACCGAGTGCCGGTCATTCATCATCTCCATCCGTAGCGCTCAGCCTGAGCATGTAGCTTCAAGGCAGGCGGTTGCCCTGTGCTGGCTCGGCGAGAGCCGGAAAGAGGTTGCTCGGCAGTAGTAGAATTGATATCAGTCCGTTGCTAGTCTTCACCGTCGTTGTCCTTGGCTCGCTCGAGTCGCTCATGACGAATTGCTTGAAGAGTGATGACCAATCCACCACAGCAGGCCCCGAAAGTGATCCAATATGCTGTACGGTAGCAATCGAGCCCTTGGCGACACGATCTCTTGCCGTCAGGCCCGATGGCGCTATGGCCATCGTAGGTCGTGCCATAGAGCAGGTTGAAGACATTGGAAGACGCAACAGGGGCCAGCATCATGAAACCCCAATTTTGGCTCAGGCCGCGGATACCAAATGCCTCGGTCACGAGGGACGGGAAAACGCCGAAAAGAACCCCGTGTCCGAGGCCAGAGAATGCGGAGACGAAGCCGAGCAGGTGAGGATTCTGGACACTGAGAGCAAAGACTTGGGCGACGAGGAAGACGAGGCAAGCTACAAACAGACACCATAGTCGGCTGGCGTGGAGCGATCTGACCAAGAAGTCGGATCCAACACCTATAACGAAGACTTCTGCGTGAGCGCCGCGACCGAGAACAGGCTATCAGGATAAGGGGAACGGCATTACCACTCAAGAGCCTCCCGACAAAACTGCAGACAGATAAAGCTGATACAAGCATCTGCTGCCTGTGGACGAGGAAGGACTTGCTGACCGAATCATCGAAATGTTTCCACAGAGCGTTGGCGTTGTTGCCAATGTTGCTGGAACACAGTGTCTGCGGTTAGCAGCTTCGTCGCGGCAGCGGCTGGAAAGGAAGGGACCAAGTGGTGCTGGGCTCGCTCACTTGATGGTCATGAGGCCGGTGCCAGCAAGGATGGCCATGATGGAGAAAAGGTGCCAAAAAGAATGCGTGCGAAGAAGTCGCAGGCCGCGGAAATCTATTCGACGAGATCGGTCTATATCAACACTGCTCGCCACCACGTTTTCTGGCGTTGCCAAGGGGGGTGGCATCAGGGACGACGTCTCGTCGATGTTTGCCTGAGGCTCTCGGGCGTCCCCTGGAACTGACGTAGCAGTTGGCCCGGGTTCAGGCGAGCATTGGGGCGCGGTTGCCGATCTGGACCGGCAGAGGGCGTCGTAGGTCGACCTACCTGGTTCTGGTACAAGGCGAGCACGATGCCGAGGGTAGAACGCCTCGGCCTCGGCGGACAGTGTACGACGAAAGGTGGGGTCGGGAGAGCCGGGCCTGGAGGAGGCTTCGTGGACGCGATGAGAGGAGACTCTGAGAAAGAAGAAGCCGAAGAGGGTCAGGCCGAAAGTGCCCCAAGACAAAAGCTTCAGGAACGCGCTGGGGTTGCCGGGGAAGAAGATTGAGCCAAGGGAGGAAAAGAAGAAGGCACTGAGACCAAAGGCGGCAACGGGAAAGGCGGTGGCGGTGCCCCGGTGATGGGGCCAGTTGAGAGCCGACGTCTTGACCGCGGCGGCGAACGCCATGCAGCTTCCGAGGCCGGAGAGGTAGGAGAAGAAGCACAGGGTGGCGACGGAACCCGAGGCGCTGTCGTAAGCCTGGTGCAGGGAAAAGTAGCCGATGGCGAGAAGAGCGGCGCCGAAGAGGACGAAAGGCCGGGGCCCGCGCCGATCGATCAAGACGCCGACGGGGACGCCGAGCGAGTAGACACCTAGGTTCCCGGACAGGCCGATCAGGTTGCTCTGGGTGGAAGAGAGGTCGAGCCTCTCGGCAAACTGCGGAGCCCAAGCCGAGTAGACATACTGTGCGTTTGGGGTCGGGGGGTTGGCGTCAGTCAATCGTGAAGACGAGGCTCGAAGACAGGCAAGGCAGCAAGCAGGCGGCGTGGAGAGCTCCGAGTGACGGCAACGCGAGACGGGGATGAAGAGGAAGTCCTACGTTGGTGCCACAGGCGAGGGAGATGAGAGTGGCGGCGACGCTGGCGACGAGCCTGGCGTGGCCGTACAACTGCTGGCCCATGTTTGGCGAAGCCACATGGACCCCAGAACGCCTAGGTGAGCTTGGGGCGTATCGTTGCGTGAATCATGGGAATGGTCAGGACGGCGTGGGCGTGGGCGTGCGGGCAATACCTGTTTATGCTTGGCCGATGCCGGCACCGGTTGAGGATGCCGAGGCAGCACAGGCAAACCCTGTGCAGGAAGGTGGGCGGCCGAGGGGGGTTGTATGAATATTGTCCGAATAATGGGATATGAAAGGACGCTTTGCCAGCGGGTGATTGAAAAGAGCGAGGACCAGACCGAGGGCATCGGCCAAGGTTACAAAGTAGGTACAGTATGTTAGATATATACATACCTACGTACCCGATGCGTGCGGGAGAGGAACCGTTTCCGTAACCGGTGATATAAAACACGCCTCGTAAAGGGCTCCCTTAGGTACCTACCTTAAGTAAGAGCGGACGGGTATCTACCTAGGTACTGTAATTTAACGTAATCCACCCCCTTCCCGGTCAGACCCCCTACTCGGTCAGAAAAAGTCTCCACGCGGCGACCCACACTTATGGCAAGACAAACCGAGCACTATGACGGCAACGGGAGACCAATCGGTTCCACGCGAAGAACGGGTCCTGCTCGCCGTCAGGGCCTATCAGCAGGGCCAATTCAAAAGTACCCGCAAGGCTGCGGCCGCATACGACGTCCCTCAATCGACAGTATCTGATCGACTGCGCGGTGTCATTCGCCGACGCGACGCTCAGATGAACAACCTGAAGTTGACGGCGACGGAAGAGACTGCCCTGGTACAATGGATCTTGTCGATGGACGAGCGAGGGATGCCGCCGACAGTGGCTTACACTCGTCGGATGGCCAACTTATTGCTTTCCGAGCGAGGCAAAGATCCTGTCGGGGAAAACTGGGTGCGGAAGTTTGTTGGCCGCCACGGCGAAATCAAGGCAAAGTACTCTCGCCGATACGACTACCAACGAGCCAAATGCGAAGACCCCCAAAAGATCCAAGGATGGTACGATCGAGTCGCGGCGACGAAACAGAAATGGGGGATTCTTGACGAGGATGTCTATAACTTTGATGAGACGGGGTTTCAAATGGGAGTCGCTGCAACGGCGAGAGTCCTTACCCGGTCTGACCGGCGAGGTCGGGCAGTACTCACGCAGCCTGGAAATCGAGAATGGGTTACTGTGATCGAGTCTATCAACTGCCAAGGTTGGGCTTTACCGGCGAAGGTTATCTTCCAGGGCAAGTTACACCAAGCAAGCTGGTACGAATCAGGAGTGCCCGATGACTGGCATATCGCCGTTAGTGAGAATGGCTGGACTTCCGACGACCTTGCTTTGAATTGGTTAAAGGAAGTCTTTGATCCGAATACACGGCGCCGTACGGTTGGTACGCATCGACTTCTTATTCTCGACGGGCACGGCAGTCACGTCACGCCGGAATTTGACAAGTACTGTACGGCCAATTCCATCGTAGTACTCAAATGCCTGCACATTCCTCACATCTCTTGCAGCCTCTTGATGTCGGGTGCTTTTCGCCGTTGAAAACCATATACGGCCGAAAGGTTCAAGAGAAAATGCTCGCTGGGATCCATCATATCGACAAGCAGGACTTCCTTCCCATGTACTTAGACGCTCGCCGACAAGCACTTTCGCCGTCGAATATCCGAAGCGGATTTATGGCAACAGGCCTTTTTCCGTTTGACCCAAACAGAGTATTATCGCGGTTACAAGTTCAGGTTGACAAAGTCGGTAACGATCACGGCGACAAGAATACTCCAAGTCCCAACAAGAGCCTGGAAGCAGCCAAGACTCCGCATAACGTCAACCAGCTTACCACTCACGCCGAAAGGCTTCTTCAACGCCGGCCACAAAATACAGACTCGCCAGTTTCACAAGCTATCAACCAGCTTATCAAAGGATGTCAAATGGCCATGCACAGCGCCGCCCTCCTTGCCGACGAAAACCGGCAACTTCGGTCAGAAAACCAGCGGCGAAAGCAGAGAAAGAACAGCGCCGTGAATACATTGGCGACGGCGGTACTCTATCGGTTGCAGAGGGCACGGTTAGGATAAAGCAACGGAGAGAAGAAGAAGAAGAGCGGGTTAAGCGACGGAGAGTGGAAGAAGAGGAGAGGACTAAGCGCCGGCGAGAGAAGGACGAGGAGCGGGCCAAGCGACGACAAGAAGGAGAAGAGCGGGCCGAGCGACGGCGACAAGAGAACGAGGAATGGTTCAAGCTACGGCGAGAAAGGAAGAGGAGCGGGTCAAGAAACAGAGAGCAAAGGAAGATGAGCGGGCCAAGCGACGGCGGGAAGAAGGGGAGCGGGACCAACGACTTATAGAAGAGCTGAGTGTCCCAAGACAGCGTGCACCACCACGGTGTAGTAAGTGCAGGTCTTTTGAACACACTGCCCGTACGTGTAATAGATAGTCCTAATCGAGTTACTTGTCTCTTGGAGTAAATATGTCGTGGTATTGTGCTCCGTTTGTCTCGCGTAAGGTGCGGGTCTAGTCGGTGGGGAATTTTTGACCGAGTAGGGGGTCTGACCGGGAAGGGGGTGGATTACGTTAACTTACACCGCTCTCATTGCTGGCGTCAAGGAACCCTGTCCCGCTTATGTAATACAAAGGCCTCCTACTCTCCATCGTGACATCGTCAGCCCACCAACGCCCAACCACCTACAAACTACCACGATTCGTCCAACCTACAACCTACGCAGCCAGCGTCGCCCGGCCGGGGCCGTGTAACGCTTCATCCTCGACGGCTTCGCCGCCGATACTCCCTGCTACAATCTGCGAACAATCCCAGCGCGACTGGGCGTTCACTTGACCCAAGCGCCCAAGTGCACGATTCGCCCGCCTTGGCTGGCCTGGGTCACAATGGGCGCTCTCCTGTCTCTGCCGCTGCTCGCGGTGCCGACCATGGGCACGGTGAGCTGATCATGTATGCCTTGTCGTACTGAACCCTTTTCTCATCCTACTTCGCAGGCCATGTCTTTCGCCGCCAGCTGCTGTGGAGCGGCAACATGCTCCATGGTCTGCAGCGCGTGTGGCAAGTGCGGCAACAGGTACGACAGACGGCCCTGGAAGTTCTTGAGCATCAAGGGCCATGTATTTCCGAGCCTCGGGCCGCTTTTTGCTAACTGTAGGTGCAGCGTCGCCACCCGCATCGCCTACGCCCTCCTCCTCCTCGTCAACTCCATCCTCGCCTGGATAATGCTCACCCCGTGGGCCATCGAGAAGCTCCAACACCTCACCTTTGATTACGTCAAGATAAACTGCCCAACAGGCCAATGCTACGGCTGGCTGGCCGTACACAGGATCAACTTTGCCCTCGGTCTCTTGCATCTGCTCCTCGGCGCCTTGCTTTTCGGCGTTGGCTCCTCCAAGAGCCCGCGCGCCGCCATTCAGAATGGCTATTGGGGCCCAAAGATCATCGCATGGCTGGCCCTCATCGTCGCGGCCTTTCTTATCCCCGACAGGTTTTTCATGTTCTACGGCAATTACGTGTCTTTCCTTTGCGCCATGCTCTTCCTCATACTGGGCCTCATCCTCCTCGTCGACCTTGCACACACCTGGGCCGAATACTGTCTGACGCAGATTGAAGACAGAGACTCCAGGGTCTGGCGCTTCATTCTCATCGGCTCCACCCTGAGCATGTACCTGGCCTCGATCGCCATGACGGTTGTCCAGTACGTCTTCTTTGCCAGGGGCAGCTGCTCCATGAACCAGGCCGTCATCACCATCAACATGCTGCTTTGGCTGGCCATCTCCGTCATCTCGGTCAACCCGACGGTCCAGGAATACAATCCCCGGGCTGGTCTCGCCCAAGCGGCAATGGTTGCTGTCTACTGCACTTACCTTACCATGTCGGCGGTATCGATGGAGCCTGATGACAAGCAATGCAACCCCTTGATACGTGCCCAGGGAACGAGGACAACCTCTGTCATCCTCGGCGCAATCGTGACGATGCTGACAGTCGCCTACACCACAACGCGCGCCGCCTCGCAAAGCCTGGGTCTCGGGTCTTCCAACTCTATCCGACTTCCCGACGACGACGACGAGCATGGCCTCGTCACGCAACAGCCCAGCGCTCGCCGCGAGATGCGAGCCGAGGCTCTGCGTCGGGCCGTCGAGGAAGGCAGTCTACCCGCCGATGCCCTGTTGTCGGACGCTGAGAGCGATGCTGGCGGCGACAGCTCACACGACGACGAGCAGTTTCGCACTCAGTACAACTACACCATGTTCCACGTCATATTTTTCCTTGCCACTGCCTGGGTGTCTACTCTGCTCACGCTCAACTTCGAGGAATCCATCAAGGATAAGGACTTTGCCACAGTTGGCCGAACCTACGCCGCGACCTGGGTCAAGGTTGTGAGCGCTTGGATGTGCCATGGCCTGTACATCTGGACTCTGACAGCGCCTGTCTTGCTACCAGATCGTTTCGACCTGTCATAGCTACTCACCGTACATTAAAGCTAGCAACCTTTGCTTGAATCGCGCATTTTCGCTTGATTTGTTTCCCTCGCCGTAAAGTGCCTCCAAGGTCTGCTTGCTAATTTGGCGTGTCAAACGTCTATAACCTTATCTCCGAAAGAGTCAAGTCACGCAGCGTTCCTTGAACTCCCTGCAACGCCCCAACAAGTAAGAGGACGCCGGGCTCCCGCTGCCTTAAGTCTGTTTGAAGAGGCCCTGGACACTGCAACTAGTCCCGAAGAGCCGCGATGTCTCACTCGTTTTCAGACCGCTGACTGCATTTGGTTGAGCCTAGGGCCATCTTTCAAGGCATCGTAGCCGCACTAGTCTCGGGCAACCTCAAAGGTTGAAGTTACGATAGGCCTTGGGCTCCAGCTTCATGGTCCTTTTCTTACCCACGGAGACAAGTCTACCTTTGCCATCATTCCCTGCTTCATAGACTGTCCGTTCTCAAGAGTCGATGTCCTAATCTCCGCCTCGACTCCAGAGCATCCGAGTCTCGATTAGAGCACCTCGACACTTGACACAACGTGGAAAGGAGCACAATTCCCCGGCACGGGTCGTGGTGTCCTTAACATCGGTGTTGCGCCAGGGCATCTGGCGTGGAGACATTGTGATGCATTGCTGCGACGCACCACGGTCGTCTGCAATCAGTGCTGGACATCAAGTGGTGTTTCTCCCAACTCCTTGGCGGCACCCTTGGCGTGTAGGCCATCGAGCGTCACGGTCACGGCACCGGCTTGAACAAGCTGACATAAAATTAGCCATGGGAGCCGTAACCGTATGCAGTCACGTGGAGGGAACGGGGTACGGGATCGGCGACAAAGGCAGGTCTGTTACCCACCGCGCGGGAGAGGTCCTCAATGAGGTCGTTCACGTCTTCGATGCCGACGCACAACCGGATGATGTCCTCGGGCATCTGCCGCTCTCTCCTCGTTTTAGCGTCTATACTTGCATGGCTCATCTGGCACGGCATGCTAATGAGGCTGTTGACGCAACCGAAGCTAACGCTGATGGACCACAGACGGGCCGCTTCAACAATGCGCCCCGAGACTGTTGGATCACCAGTCTCAAACGATAGGACAGCACCGGCTCCCCGGGCCATGGACCAATGTAAGTCGTACTGTGGGTGGGATTTGAGGCCAGGGTACCGCACCCGAAACCCGCGAGACTCGAGAAAGTCGGCAATGGCCTGGGCATTGGTCTGCTGCTTCTCCATTCGAATGCCAAGAGTCTTTACACCCCTCATGAGAAGAAAGGAGTCGTTGGGCGAGAGACCGCAGCCGGTGGAGTTGATGGTAAAAAAGAGCTTGTCTCCGATGGAAGCGTCGTTGCATGCAATGACGCCGGCCATGATGTCGTGGTGACCAGAGAGATACTTGGTCCCCGACTCGTAGACAATATCGGCTCCTAGGTCGAGTGGGTTGCAGAGCATGGGCGAGAGCATGGTGTTGTCGACGACGATCAGAGCCTTGGGGTTGGACTCGTGGGCCATGCGGGCAATGGACAAGAGGTCTACAATCTTGATGAGAGGATTGGTAGGTGTCTCGAGGAGTACCATGGCGGTCTTGCTCGAGAGGCATTGGCTGACGGCGCTTGTGCTGGTAGTATCAACATGATGGACCGCAATGCCCTGGTTGGTGGCCATATAGGTCAGGAGGCGATGGGTGCCGCCGTAGAGATCGTCGCCAGTAATGACTTGGTCGCCCGGCCGAAGCAGGCGGGTGATGACGTCGAGGGCGCCCATGCCGGAGCTGACGGCCAGCGCGCGGTTGGCGTTCATGACCTTGGCAAGATGCCTCTCCAAGTGGGTCCGTGTTGGGTTTCCAGACCGCGTGTAGTCGTATTCCTGCTGGCCGCCGCTGGCCGAAGTTTGCTTGAACGTGGCCGACTGGTAGATTGGAATGCTCGAGGCGCCGTACTGGTCCTTGGCCTCGGTGTATACTAGCTCGGTCGCGAGGGCATATCGCCGGCGGCCGTTGCGCGGACTCGAGGGCGCCGGGGACGGGGGAAATTGGTGGCCATCGAGGTCGACTCGCTTCAGCGGATTGGCGCCAGTGCTGCTTGCCGAGGCGGCGCCATTGGAGGAAGACTGTGCTGTCATGGTACTTGATACTGTAACAAAGCAACTCCGGGGGTGCGAGTCGCCGTGGGTGAGAGATTGGCGAGAGAGGTTGAGCAATCTTTGCAAAGCAGGTAAGGTGTTGGGAGGGGCTTGAGGACCTTGGGTGGTCCGTTCCTCATCGCAAGGTGGTGACACAAGCAACGTGACTAAACTACGGGCCTACGTTAAAGCGCATTGAAGAGGGCAGGTAGGTAGGTTAGCAAGCAAAGGGTGGTCAATCTTTTTACCTCATTCATAAAACAAGAAGGCTGATTTGCTTCCATAAAATATCTTCGAGAAACAGACATGAAATATATTCTACTGCATCAGGAAATCAGGCTTTAACACCGATTTAAAGGCGTATGATGCTTGGCTTGGGCAACGAATGGACGATATATAACGCTTTGCTCTTAAAGCACCTAATATATCATATGAGGTGGCAAGGCCCCAAATGAAGTATACAAATTGTTATTTGCATGGTACCAACGGCGCACTACGCGCAGCCTCTCTACAGGCGGTCCCTAGCGACGGGGTTGTCTGCGTCTTCATTCTCATGCTCATAAGTTTTACCGCCAAACTGTGAGTCGCCATTGCTTTTTGCGGGGCCAGCATCGGGGGCTTGTCCGCCTCGTCGCCCAAAGAAGTCTTCCGTTCTGATGCCGCGAAACTGGCCGGGATCTACAGCTGTCATGTGCCTCCTCTCTCCTTTGTGTTCCCGCATGTATTCTCGCACTGGGGCCATGGCAGCCTCACGACAGGCTTCCTTGATGTCACTACCGGACATGCCCGCAGTGATGTTCGACACGTAATCAAGGTCGAAGTGACGCGGATCCGTCTTCGTGTCCTGGAGGACAAGTTGCAGAATTCTCCGCCGTTGCTGCAGGCCAGGTAACGGAACAGGGAACTTCTTGGGCATGCGCCGCAGAATCGCCTCATCTATGTCGTGGATGCGATTGGTCGCTCCCAGAACGACAATCCGTGCTGGCATGCCCGACGAGTTTGCAGACGTTAGTCCATCCCATAATGTCATAAATCTGTTCCTCTGTTAGCTTCGCTCAGTCAAGGTGCCGTCGGCTTCGGCTACTTGTTCACGGCGCCTTACTCGGCCTTGACCATCCCGCTGGCCTCATGCTCGCCGCTTCTTCGTGTCCCCAAAACTGCGTCGATCTCGTCAATGAAGATGATGGCAGGTTGCATCTTTCGAGCGAGCGAGAACACAGCTCGTACAATCTTATTGGAATCGCCGTACCACTTCTCAGTCATGGTTGAAATATGAAGGTTGATGAACGATGCGCCGCTCTCATGAGCCACGGCCTTTGCCAGCATCGTCTTGCCACATCCCGGTGGTCCGAAAAGCAGCACACCTGATGGAGCCGAGAGTAGCGGTGCAGCATGCGAGTAGAGATGAGGCATTGTAAGAGGGTAGATGACAGATTCCTTCAGTTCTTCGATTATCATGTCCAACCCGCCAATGTCTAGCCAAGTGATCAGCGCAACGTATTCAGAAAAGGACGACAGTCTTGCCGGATCAAAACACGGGGAGATAAGACTCACCGTCGAACCCCACGTGTATATCTTCTGGTGCAATCATCTCCAGTGCGATCAAGTTTTCGTACTCGTTCAGAACCAGGTCATCGACGGATGGGCCATCCCTGGATGCGCCGTTCTCGCCCGCCTCATCATCGGCGATCCTCCTATGGCGATTCAGTCGCTCCAAGTGAGCCTTTGCTTGGCGTCGAGCCTGCTCGTGCTTTTCTTTATCTGGATCGGCGAGATTGCTGAGAATGGGGTTTAAGAAGTTTCGTGCAACGTAGAGGCCAGCTGTCATCTGAGTAGCCTGTGGCGTCAGCGCAGGCGAAGCGTATTGATGAGCGACAGGTGTATCGAAGCCTCATACCATGCCGGCAAAAAGCAGGAGGTCCATTGCGACATCGCCGAGCTTTCGTCTCTCGCCCATCCCGAGGGCCCAGCGCAGCCAGGCGGCTGACTGCTCGGGCATGAAGTGGCAGATTGCCCAGAATCTTCCCGCCTATGGCCGAATCTGAGATCGCCAGGTAGCTTCGAGTTCGAAAGGTTCGAGGGCTCGAGGTCTTGATCCAGAGGAAAGTCGCTAGCTGTTGCTGTCGCAACAAAAGACGCGATTGAAGAAAAGCAACGACGTTGTGTCGATGCCGTGGTGGAAGATTGATGTTGTACAGATATGTTCAAATATCACCTTGCAAGCAAAGTCGCTGACGAGCCTTGCACACAGTGACGTGTAATTACGCAGTACCAAGCTTCTGTACAGAGTACCTAGGTACGTACTTGTAATATTTTTCCAAGCGGCTTACTAAAGATTTCGGGATGCATGTGCCTCGGTACTTGTGTCTAAGCGCCGATAGCTTCCAGGTTGTTTACATTTAACCGAAACGGAAATATGTGTATCCCCCCGCCCTCTCTCCCCTACCCGGATTGCCTTGCTAGATCTGAGTACAGTATTCCGCCCGCTCTCTCGGCCTTCACCCGCACAGCTTGGTATCGCTCAGTCCATGACTGCTTGGACCTCTCTCCCTTGCTTGGCGACTCTTGAGTTTTCAGATACACCGCCCGTCTTCTTTCTCGTGGCTCGCTATGGTGCCACAAGTCAAAGCAGCCAGCAGCTTGCTCGGCCCGGAGGCAGATCTTGATGACTTGAACTGTGGTTCGGTGGAACCTAAGCCTTTGACGACAAGAAAGAGGGCAAGAGGACGACCGCACGGCGCCAGCAACAGAGTCACAAAGCCCACATCAAAAACGACCAGTGTATCCAGAAAGAAGGCCGAGTCGGTTGTTTCAACGTCAGCAAGGCAAATCTTGGCTGAACAAGGTCAGGGCGCTGCTCCTCTGGATTCCGGGGAAAAGTCACTCTATTATGACACCACGGGCACACGAGCAGGCGACAGCAGGGCCGACGTTCACTCGGCAAAGACCAGCCATGTGCGGTCGAGGCCATCAGGGAACCCCAACAAGTTGAAAGCTGGCGGATCAGTCGTCCCTGAGCCCGCTTTAAAGCTAGATGGCTATCCGACAATCGTGGAGATTCCGGAGACCCAAGAAATAGATACCTTACGACTCGATGAAAGCGGAGATGGACCTGCAGTATTTGACGAGCTCTTAACAGCGGATTTCGGAGCAAACTCGGAAGATGCGTCCCCCGGAAATGGCCTGGATAATATCTCGGTCCGGAGACGCTTGGGAGATCTCACTAAAAGGTACGAAAATCTGGAAATGCGACATCGCGATCTCCGGGAAGTGGGCGTGAAGGCAGCGGAGCGCAACTTCGACCGCTTGAGGAAGCAAGCCGAAGAAAATGTTGCGGGTAAGCGATGGTTCTTAGTCAAAGTGATATATTCTTGCAGCCGTCGCTGACATGATAATGTGAGCAGCATCGAACATGCTCATTTCGCAGCTCAAGGAAGATATCGCAGCGCAGTCGGCACTGGTCGAACAAGGCCGAGACTTGCGGCACCGACTTGAGCACAGCGAAGCCAACAGCAACAGCCTCCAAGCAGAGATTGATGGATTGATGACGGCGCTCTCCGAGGCGCGAGGCGAAATCACGACGCTGTCTGCAAAACTCGCCGCCAGCAGAAACGTCGAGGCGGGCGCCGCCGTTACAAACAGCACACGGAAGCCCGGCACAGTAGGTTGCAAAACTGGCGGGCCAGAGATGGTCCAGGTAGCACAAGCAAAGGAGGACCTTTATGGCGACCTGACGGGTCTCATCGTGAGAGGGCTGAGGCGTGGAAATGAGGAAGACTTGTTTGACTGCATCCAGACTGGCCGAAACGGAAGTAAGTGGACTCTCTCCTGCGTCTGGCAGCGTTTGGTGATGCTGACTCATGGTGCTCGACAGCTCTGCATTTCAAGCTGGCCTTGGAGCGTGGCAGCCGGACGGATAACTACGAGGACGTCCAACTGACATACAGGCCGCAGTTGGATGTGGATCGGGATTCTGACCTTATGGAGCTGCTGCCAGATTACCTGGTGGAGGAGATTACATTTCCACGGTCTCATGCGTCCAAATTTTACAGCAGGGTCATCAAGTCCTTATCAGAGCGCACGGACTAGTGCCATCAGGGTGTCGGTTCTGACGGATGAGCTTGGAGGGAGAGATACCCAGGCGGGACGGCGTCTTAAATTGTCCGGATATATGATTAGTTGATATACCCCCTTTTTTGCTATGCTTCTGAGCGCCAACAGTGCCTTTCGGATGATTTAAAAAGAAATCCTTAAGTTCTCAAAGCCCATCTATATACTATAAAATATCAGTTTCAGTACATGCTCTAGAAGCCGTTAAACATCTACTTTAAAGCTTACCTAAATGTCCTATATATTAAGTATATTTGGGCCGTGACTAACCACACTCACGCAGCTCTGCGTACCAGTACTTGGTACTATTATCGATTACGTAGCGCGTACGCGTCGAGCTTTATCTTCCCCCGTGAGTTCGCGACGACCTTGCGCCAACAGGAACACCACGACGCTCGCTCCGTGTCGACACTTTCGCCCTGCTCGCCATGGCGGCAGTCACTCGCTTCGCCTTTCTGGCCACGGCCATTGTCTTTCATCTCGTCTACTTGCTCTCCATCTTTGACATTTACTTTGTCAGCCCCATCGTTTCCGGAATGCGACTCGTTGGCGTCGAACGTCCAGTCTCCGTGAAGCCGCCGGCCGACAGATTGGTATTGATTGTGGGTATGTCTGCGCCGGGCCGCCATACATTAGCCTCCATGGGCCTTCTCCTCCCCCTTCTCCCAATGCCGTCTTCCCACTGATCCATGGAGCCTGCAGGCGACGGACTCCGTGCGGACAAGGCGTTTCAATCGTTTCCAGAACCTTACCCCAAGTCGGATGGCGATTTGCTACCCAGGCCTCTGGCGCCCTTTCTGCGCTCGTGCGTACTTGACCAGGGGACCTTTGGCGTTTCCCACACACGTGTTCCCACCGAGTCTCGCCCCGGCCATGTCGCCTTGATCGCCGGCCTTTACGAAGACGTCTCTGCCGTGGCCACGGGCTGGAAGCTCAATCCAGTCAACTTTGACAGCGTCTTCAACCGCAGTCGGCATACCTGGAGCTGGGGGAGTCCAGACATCCTGCCCATGTTTGAACGCGGCGCAGTACCGGGACGTGTCGACGCGTACATGTACGAGCCCGAGTTTGAGGACTTCTCCAAGGACGCCACGCGGCTCGATTACTGGGTGTTCGATCGCGTCAAGGCATTTTTAGCCGAAGCTGCCTCCAACCAAACACTTAACAAGGCACTCCGACAGGACAAGAATGTCTTCTTCCTTCACCTCCTCGGACTCGACACGACCGGCCACTCTTACCGGCCCTATTCGCGGGAGTACCTCCATAACATTCAAGTTGTGGACCAGGGGGTCAAGGAGGTGACGGAGCTCATACAGAACTTCTTTGCCGATGACAGGACCGCCTTCGTCTTCACGGCGGACCACGGCATGAGTGACTGGGGCAGCCACGGGGACGGCCACCCGGACAACACTCGTACGCCCCTCATCGCCTGGGGCTCCGGCGTCGCCCTTCCAGACCTGTATCCCGACGCTGTTGCTCCTGGTCATAATGGTTATTCGTCGGACTGGAACCTGGACCATGTGCGGAGACACGACGTTTACCAGGCCGACATCGCTGCTCTGATGTCGTATCTGATTGGCACCGAATATCCAGCCAATTCAGTGGGAAAACTGCCGCTTTCTTACTTATCCTCTGACAGCCGTGAAAAAGCTGAGGCGTTGTTTGCCAATGCGCGGAGCATCCTTGAAATGTATCGAGTCAAGGAGGTTAAGAAGAGAAACAATGAACTCCGGTTCAAGCCTTACAAGCCCCTGAGCGACGACGGGCGCACGCCCGATCAGCACATCGCCGCCATCCGGCAGCTGGTGGTGGCTGGAAAGCACGAAGAGGCCATTGAGGAGTCCGATGCCTTGATTGGATTGACTCTCGAAGGCCTTCGCTATCTTCAGACGTACGATTGGCTTTTCCTTCGAGCGCTCATCACCGCCGGCTACCTGGGCTGGATGGCGTATGCCATCACCACGGTCATCGACATGTTCGTGCTGCCGGAGAAGATAGCCCCGGAGCGGAACGTCGTGAGCATGACTGCCTTTTCGTCGTTTCTCGTTGCTCTCTACGCCACGTTCTTCATTTCAAAATCTCCCATGACTTACTATGCGTATGCATTTTTCCCAGTCGTTTTCTGGGAACAGGTTTACGCCCATCGCCGCAGCCTGATGCAAACCCGTGGGGTTTTATTCGGGCATGTCACCTCGGCAGGATCTGTCGTGACAGTCATTCTGCATGGCGCTTTCTTTATTGGCATCATTCAGTCTCTGGTCAGTCCCTCCAGCCGGCTCAAAGGCTTCGGTATCTAATAAACGCAGGCCCTAAGCTACATCCATCGGGAGATTCTGACTGGCATCTTTGTCTTGTCAGCTGCCTGGCCAGCGACGTATGGCTTGTCATTTCTTCAGTCTCACTCCTGCCTGAGCGGTGTTTGGGTCGCTCTGTGCCTGATCATGAGCGTTTTCACACTCCTTCCAGCCATGAAGGCTGAGAATCTGCCCCTGATGTTGGTGAATGATCCACGTTCCTTGCGCGGGCTGGTGACTGATTGCTCCGCAGCCTCACTGGTGGCACAGTCATGTCTGTGGTTGGACTCCTGTACTTGATTTTTGAAGACTTTGTGCTCTCAGATTTCTCGTGGGCCGGAAAGAAAGATGCCTCTCGGGGAAATTCAACGACCAGGCGCTCTCTTACTGGTATCCAGGTATGGCCCTTTTTGTTTGCCGCCGACAAGTGGCCGCGCACTGACTAGCTGGCCGCATGTAGGTTGGTCTTGTGCTGTTGGCCATGGTGGTCACACGCTCCAGCGCATTGAGCCTCCAATCCAAGCAAGGACTCCCCCCCGGCAACCAGGTTCTAGGCTGGATTGTTCTTGGTATGTACCCCTGTTGCTTCGGTGCCGGCCACATCGCCCAAGGTCTTGAATGTTATGATTTTTCGGAAGTTGACGGAGCCACAGTCGCGTCGTTGCTCATGCCACTGACGTATCGGCTGCAACCCAACGCGCACTATATGCATCGATTGGTCGTCATCTTTCTGACTTGTGCTCCCACATTTGTCATTCTGACAATCTCATACGAGGGCCTGTTTTACGTTGCGTTTTGCCTAACGTTGCTTGTCTGGGTCCGCCTCGAGTACGCCGTGGAGATATACACCAGGAAGCGTTGTTTGAGGGTGAACGCGAGCGCACCCGAGCCGCCAACTCCCGAGCGAGGTCGGACAACTTTCCGGTCCCTGCGCCTATCTGATGCACGAGTTGCCCTCTTCTTCATGGTACTTTTGCAATCCGCCTTTTTCAGCACGGGCAACGTCGCCTCAGTTTCGTCCTTCAGCCTCGACAGCGTGTGTCGTCTGATACCGATATTTGATCCCTTCTCACAGGGTGCCCTCTTGATCCTCAAGCTGATGATACCGTTCGCGTTGATATCCGCGAACCTGGGCGTCTTGAACAAGAAACTAGGCGTGGCCCCTTCGGCCCTCTTCATGGTGGTCATGGCCGCGAGCGACATTCTAACGCTCTACTTCTTCTGGGTGGTCAAGGACGAGGGATCATGGCTGGAGATTGGCTCGACCATCAGCCATTTTGCAATTGCCAGCCTCTTATGCGTCTTTGTTGCCGGTCTGGAAGGGTTTGGTGCCCTGTTCATAGCCGGGGTTGAGGTGGAGGAGGAACCGATAGCAAGAGAGGCGTTCAGGGGGCATGCTAGTGTAGCGAGTAGCTAACGCTCTGACGAGTCTCCAAATCCATTAGTAGAGGAAAAGTTGAAGAACATTGAATCTCTCGTACTTTTTGGTTTAAATCTTTATCCTATTTGTAGCAGAAGGACAAAACATAGGGCATCTTTGAACCAACCAAGTTAGAAGATTGGACATTTGAAACGTCCAAGATGGTAGCAGCATAAAGTGCTTGGAGGTTAGGGTATAAGTTACATAGCAAGGCTATACTATACTATACGTTCAAGCCCACAGCCGCCACCCGACGACCCCTAGAGGTTCCTAGTACGGATAAAAGTGGGTATTAAACCCGACATTGCGAGATTGCCACCAGGCACCTACCTAGCTCTTGCATCACCTAATCTTCGGCCTCGGCCCCGGCCTCCGCCGCTGCCGTTGTCGCCGCCTCCTCACTTCCATCAACAGAACGTCGCCCCCATCCACCCACTGGCAGTCCTTGTTGCTGCCCATCAATCGCTCCCGCGCTCCGTTCCACGAGGCTCCTCGCGGGCCCGCCGACACCGCCGAACAGGCAAACCATGGACGTTGACATGTCTATCGCGGGTGACGCCGCCCCGCCGCAGTCGATTTCCCACGCTCCGAATCAGTCTCCTCCCCAATCTCAGTCGCAATGTGACTCGCGAGCCAACGCGTCGCCCCCGAGCGCCGCCAACGCTGCCGCCATGGCGGCCGGCCAGACGAGCTTTCGAAGGTATTACGCGACGACGACGCACGCTTGACGCACTCCTGTTTTTGGTCGCTCACGCTGACGGGGCTTGTAGGCAGCGAGCATCACGAGCGTGTGAGGTATGTTTGACCCCAAGGCTCGCCGCCTTGCCATCCTTCTCCTTGTCTCTTTACTTCGCCTGTGCAACCAACTGCAAGCCGGGGCATTCAACCGCCGTGTCGGTGACTCTTCTGCTCCGTTTGCACGCCCGCCCGCCCAGCCAATGCTGACCATGACCGGTTCTCGGCTTCCCAGACCTGTCACGCGCGAAAGGTACTTCGAATCACGACCGTCCAAGGCGTCCCGACGTCGTCTCCCCAGTCATGCTGATCTCATCGCAGGTTCGATGCGATGCTGCCAGCCTCGGGGTTCCCTGCACCAACTGCGTGGCTTTTCAGATTGAGTGTCGCATCCCGACCCCCAAGCGCAAGAAGACTCAGAATACCGGGAGCCAGAATGGAAAGGACTCGGACAGGTAGTAGACACACGCCCCTTCCCCGTGTCTGTCCAGCGTCTTGCGCCAAGTCGTCCTACTAATGCCTCGTCACGCAGCGACCACGACGGCCCCGATGAACGACAACGGCGAACGACGCCAGCAGGCGTTGCTACAGCATATCCACGCGCACCGACCGTGTCGCACACTTCGGACGGAACCCCTTCCTCATCCAGGACAGAGGCACAAGCCAGGCAGGACGAAATCGACAGCGGCACATATCTCAACTTAGTAATGAAGCCGCAGTTCACGCGCGCGCCCATCACCGAAGCTGGCCGAGTCGCTTTTCTTGGCGAATCTTCCAACTTGACCCTGCTCGTCCACGACCGCCAGGGCTCCTCCGACGTTGTGCACTACCCACTTCCCGAGAACGTCCGCGGCTCTCGCGCCAGGCTTACCGAGCTGGACAATGTCGAGATCGACATCCTGCATCAGAGGGGGGCCTTTCTCCTGCCTCCTCGCTCCTTATGCGACGAGCTCATCGACGCCTATTTCAAATGGGTCCACCCCATCGTGCCAGTCATTAACCGGGCACGCTTTATGAGGCATTATCGCGACCCCAAAAACCCCCCGTCTCTTCTGCTTCTCCAGGCTGTGCTCTTGGCCGGCTCTCGTGTCTGCACCAACGCCCAACTCATGGACGCAAACGGCTCGACAACCCCGGCCGCACTGACCTTTTACAAGCGGGCCAAGGCCCTCTACGATGCCAACTACGAAGACGACCGCGTCACAATTGTGCAATCCCTGCTGTTGCTTGGCTGGTACTGGGAGGGTCCAGAGGATGTCACCAAGAATGTATTCTACTGGAGTCGCGTTGCCACCATTGTTGCACAGGGGTCCGGGATGCACCGCAGCGTGGAGCAGTCACAGCTCAGCAAGTCGGACAAGCGGCTCTGGAAACGAATCTGGTGGACCCTCTTCACTCGTGACCGATCGGTAGCTGTGGCTTTGGGCCGTCCGGTCCACATCAACCTCGACGACGCGGATGTCGAGATGCTGACCGAAGACGACTTCATCGAGGACGAGCCGGACCGGACCAGTGAGTTCCCGCCGGATTCGGTTCACGTGCAGTTCTTTCTCCAGTACGTCAAGCTGTGTGAGATAATGGGCCTTGTGCTGTCGCAGCAATATTCGGTGGCCTCCAAGGGCCGGCAGCGGAATGCCATCGACTTGACGCACAGTGACATGGCTCTGGCCGACTGGCTGCAAAACTGCCCCAAGAGTGTATACTGGGAGATGCCTCGCCACCATTTCTGGTCCGCCCTGTTGCACTCCAACTATTACACAACTCTCTGCCTTTTGCACCGCGCTCACATGCCCCCAAGTGGCTCAAGCCGCTTCCCATCCGATTCCACATACCCGTCACGGAACATTGCCTTCCAGGCGGCCGCCATGATTACTTCGATTGTCGAGAATCTGGCTGCTCATGATGAGCTGCGCTACTGTCCGGCTTTCATCGTCTACAGCCTATTCTCGGCCCTCATCATGCACGTCTACCAGATGAGATCACCGGTTCCGTCAATCCAACAGGTGACCCAGGACAGATTGCGAAGCTGCATGCAGGCCATGAAGGAGGTGTCCCGGGTGTGGCTGGTGGGTAAGATGGTCTACACGCTCTTCGAGTCCATCATTGGCAATAAGATGTTGGAAGAAAGGCTACAAAAGGCCGGAGTCAAGCGACATCGGAGAATGCAACAGAGCCTGACGCAGCTGGAGCAGCAGGGCAAGACGCATGATGCTACGAAGCGAAAATACGACGACATGGCCATTGATTTCACCGCCAACGCACCCACGCCCCAGGAATCATACGAACGGTCGAGGCCTCAAACACCTAGTGCTTGCAAGAATGAGAGTGCAAGCTCAATGCAGCCGCCCAACGTGCCATCGCCCGGTTCTCGCCCAGCCGGTGGAGCTGACACCTTCATGGGCGGCACCAGTTCGCGGCCACAGACCCGGCCTGCGTCGCCATTCAACCCGTCTTTCTCGGTTCCCGCAACGCCGCCGGATCTTTACCTGGTGACGAGGAATTCTCCCAACATCTCACAGTCACTATGGGAGAACTTCCAACCCGATCAGCTGTTCCCAGAGAGTTCAAGTATGCCGGCTTTCCCCAGTCTGTCGCCAACGCAGGCGTACCAGAACCTGGACCAGAACCTAATGGCTCGACTTACGCCAAGCAGCATGGCACCCGGCACTCATGGTCAGCCGGGCACTCAGTTCCAGGCTAGGGGTCAAGGCCAGGGGAACGGTATGATGCCAGTGCCCGGTTTCCAGGGCCAGCCGAACATGTGGCAGTCTAATTTAGACGGCGGCATGCACGATGGACAGAGCCCGGACAGCTGGAGTACCAGCTCAGCGCAGGGACAGCCAGCCCCGACGACGCTTAACGTGGAAGACTGGTATGGACTTGCCCGTTCCGGCGACTTGCTTTGCCATCCCTTTTTCATTGCCGCTAATGCTCGACAGGTTCCAATTCTTTGGCATCAACGGTGATGCTAGTGCATTGAATCTCGACGCGTGTCTCTGAGACGAGCCGTTCTAGCTTCTCGCAACCCTTCGCATTGTAGGAACGTCGGTTATTTATAGCATGGCGACAATAGGTCTTGAAATTTGATCATTGCAGACTCGCCATTGAGTCTGAACGACGTGGCGCTGAGTGGTGGGAGTTTACGTGGGAAAGTTGGGGGCCAGGCAAACCCTGCTGAACCTAGTTTGCAGATGTCTTGAGCCCCAGGTCATGAAGATTCAACGAGCTCTGTGTGCACATCCATTTAGTGATGCGGTCGGTTCGCTTGCGGCACCAGGTGCCATGACGGGTTTAGGATATACAAGGAGATTTCCATCACGGCTGATGGAGCCGTATTATACCCCCAAGTTGATGTTTTTGGGTTGTCAACTCAAACCGGCCGCCTAATTGATTTGCCTTGACATTTAAAGATAAACGTTCAATGGTGCCCTTACAAGGAGAGAAGAAAGGTGTGTAAACAGCAAATATTTGATTCAACCGCTAGCTTGCTCCATAGTCTCCTTCTATCAAAGCCCCGAATGAACCATAATAAGCAACCCCAATAGCGCTGACCGACGTGCGAGAAACAGTAGATTCTATAAATGGGGAGGGGGAAAGGCGGTGTGGCGAATAGCCAAAAGCGAAAGAAGCACCCGCTCGAGCCATCGTGTTTTTGGGATGATGCGAGTCTTCCCATGGTGAGCAGCATGCAAGTCCCGGAGACCCTCTGGCCGTCGCAGAGCCACATTTAGTCGTCCTTCTGGCGACCTCTCATACTGCCGAGCCCAGTCACCACCGGCCTCCTGTTTACTGATCCCTCACCATCGCTTCGACCGCTGGCTCCCGAAAAGGGATCTGGCGGCGCCGTTGACACATCGTTTGTAGAGAGTTTGCCGTCCTCACTTCCCGTATCTGCCAACTCAATCAGATCACTGTCAATGTGCCCTGCTGACAGCCCCGTCGGTCGAGCCCGGCCCCCAATCATTGGCGTGCTCGGTCGCTTGGCCAAGGCACCTCGCAGCCAGCCCTCGACTGCGGCGGCGGCTCTGTCCAGGCCGTTGCCATGTCGGGAGGCTGACGTGGCGTCTCGCCCGTCCTCGAACGGGCTTTCGACGATTCCCGACGTCTCCGACGTGAACCCAAAGCGGGCTATATCCGATCCCATAATGGACATGGAGGGCAGTCCTTCGATGTTGAGACCTGGCAGATGCTTCCTCGTCCATGAATTTAAATAGTCACCATCTGGCCCTGGAGCTCGCATGTTCCCTCCCATGGAGCCGACACCGCCCGGGCGACGCATCCAGGCAGGCCTGCTGTCATCCGCGTCGTTTTCCCTGCAGCTGTGAAACGACACGGGCCTTCCAGATGGCTGCGGGCGGCCGCCCAGTGGGCTTTGTCTCCGAGACGAGCAATGCGCTGCGAAGCCGGGGGGCCCAACGTAGATTTCCGAGCTTTGCCGCGGTGTTGAGAGGGACGAGACGGTCCTGATGCTCTTCTTCCGCCGCGGTGGGAAATAACCCAAGGTCTGTCTCGAAACGCGACCAATCTGCACGGGTTGAAGAAACGAATCTATTTGGACCCAGCTGACATGAATCCAGGGTTCTTCCTCACTCTGCGCTTGCTTGCTTTCGGTAGCCCCAGCGTCATCACACCTCTTGAAGTAGTCGTCCTGGTCGGTTCGATCGCCGGACAGCGACTCGTTATGGACCCCAGGTGTCGACGCCAGGAGATCGGTCTGTGGGGAACATTGCCACGATGGCGCTTCAACGCAGGGGCGGCCCCGGATTTCACAAGCATCGACCGGTATTGCCAGCCACTTGCGTGTCTGGATGCTGTCTCTTGACCACAGTCCGTTGGCTTTTCTGAAAACGTCCTCCCTGCACTTGTACCGGAGTATGAGTCCAGCATATGTGTCGTCGGGCTGGACATGGTGTATATAGACGAGGCAATCTTCCGGCTGCGGATTAGCGGAGGCATCTTCGCCGGAATTTCGACGTTTATGCCTGCCCATGACGTCCAGGCCGCCATTGACGCCATCGTGGCTTTCCAAAACGCTTGCTGTCCGTGCCGCCTTGAGTGCTGCTTCTCTCTCAGCGACAGACCCGGCAGCCACTTCATCCAGCCTTGATTTGTGCAGAGGAGGAGTCGGCCCCCACGCATTGGAGGTTTTGCCGGCGCTGCTGCTCCAGTGTTCGCGTGCCCGGGCGTGGGGTCGGGCTGGGACTCGGGAACGGGACGGAGACTGTAGCGCTCTCGTTCCATTATTATCGTCACCGGCTGGCAAGAACATGCCGGCAAGCTCCTGGACCGAGCTCCAGCCTTGCGACCATGAATCGCCGAGAAACTGTGCCACGGTGCCGGGGCCATCGTCCCGTCCGGGCCTCGCATCTGGACGGCCAGCCGACGGAGGGCTTACAAAGCGATTGGCCGAGACGCCACCGCTGTTCTCTAGATGGCCGAGATTGTCGGCGTCTTGTCCTTGGCCGCTGCTGACAAGGCGCCGGGATCGAGAGCGAACGGAGCTCGAAACGACGCCTGGAGATGAGCCGGCGGCCGCCAGGGCCGAGGAGGACAGGCGCGACGAGGCCTTGGCCGGTATGCGCGGCTCGGTCATGACAACGGCGAACTCGGCGGCGAGAGGAGCTCGCGAATGATGAATAGGCCCCGCACGAGCATTCGTGCAATGCTACTGCGGACGCGCGGACACGGCGGCGCTGGGCGGTGGGTGGATTGAGAGCCAACAGGCGGCGAGGGGGGAGCAAATCGAACGGTTGGGAATGGCGTATAGGCCACGGCCTCCTGATGCATGCACTGTTCGGTAAGGGACACATGCCCCAGCTGCACTGCTAGTGTGTAGCAAGGGGGAGAGTGAGGGCGGGCTGACATGACAGGTGGTATAACTTACTAGGGATTCGGCATGGGGAGAGCCTGTCCATTCAGTACCTCACTAATGTATTGCGCATCAAAGGGGCGGGCTCTTAAGTCAGCACACCTAACTTCCGGCACCCCCACTTCCGGCACCTCCCTAACGTCAGCCACCTAGCTTACAGCACACCCCCCTTCTAGCACCCTTCCCATAGCAAAGAGGGCACCTTCTAACGGCAATTAAAGCCGTATTTTAATATCGCGATAGATTAATTTAGTGTTTTCTAGCTATTTAAGCTACTAGCTACTATATAGAGCTTTAAAATCTACGTTTTAATTAGCTATTATAATAGTATAAATATAGCCTTTAAAAGTTATTAGCTACGTTACTTTAGACCCTATAAGGAAAAAGAAAGTAGTAACTAAATTACTATAGCACCGTTCCTAGCTTATACTTAATCTAGCCTAGCCTTATAATATTTATTACTACCCTTAAGTTTAATTATTTTCTATATATAACGAGGGATTTATTTAACTTAAGCTTATATCTTCTCTTATAGTAGCTCCTTTTAAGTAAGATCCTAAGCTATAATAGCCTTAGCTTAGCTCTTTAGTACGCCCTTCTTTATAGTTATTCTTTTTATCTATAGCTAAGCTAGCTTAATAGCGTTATAATTAAGCGAGTTACTATATTAATAAAGCTATTAAATATTATAAGAATTATAGAATCGTTGCTAAATATAGTAGTTATAAGTAGGAGCCTTATCTTTTTATATAGTTATCTTAAAAAGCTTAGCTTTATACTCTTTAATAAAAGGAAAGAGCTTAAGAAGAAGAATATTCTTTTAGTAGTAAAACTAGTTAATTCTACTATACTTAGAGCCTTATATAAGCTTACTTAACTTTTAGTTAAATTTCTATTAAGGTTTAGGTCTAAGAAGTTAATAGAGATATAATCTTTATAAGCTATTATTAAGTTCTTACTTCTTTTTTAATAAGGGCTTAAGTTCTTTATTTATTATTATAATAGCTTTATTTACTACCTTCTTTTTAATAATAGTCTTTAATACCTAGTAATAGCTTAGGCCCTTTTTATTATATAAAAAGTATAAGAGTCTTTAACTATTATAAGTTATAGGCTTAAGCTATAGCCTAAGCTATATAAGTTATATATAGAGGGCTAGATCCTATATATATATATATATAGGCTAGCTATATATATTATTATTATTATTAAGATTACGCTAAGGACCTAGCTAAAGGTATCTAGAACTTTAATATTAAATAAGAAGGAAAAACTAAAGTACTTAAGGGAAAACCCTCCCCTCTTTTAGTATAGGTCTACCTTAAACGAGGTCGTAATAGTAGTATATAGGAAATTTACGCCGGCTACCGCGGGCTCCTCCCGCGAAATCGCGTCTTAGCGCGGGCCCTCTTAGGCTATAGCCGCTACTATCCTAAGCAGCCGCGGCCTAGGCTCGCTAGCCCGGGCCTAGGGTTATAGGTAGTAGTCTCTCTCTAGGGGCCTAACTTATAGGCGCCTTTATTTACCCTAGCTCCCGCGTTATAGCCGCGTAGCCGCGGTCGCGTCGGCTTATTAGTCCGTTAGTTAATAGGGTAGGTAATATCTAGTTACCGGGCTAGGCGCTAGTATAGGTCGCTCCTAGGTAGGGCCGGCTAATCGAAATTTAGTCGGCCGGCTCCGCTAATCGTAAATTAATTCTTATCCGGCTACGCGACTTCCTAATTAGGGGCGCGGCGGCCTATATTTACCCTCTATCTCGTAGTTATTAATTACGCGCGCCTAGCTCGTGCCTATATATACCTACCCCGGTTCTATACGTGCCTCCTCCTATCCCTTTATTATCTATCTCTTTTATAGGCCTAACCCCTACCTCGCCCGCCTTATTTCTATAACTCTAGGTCTCCTTAATACTATATCTAGTTCGCTCGTTATCGCGTCGTAATATCTAATTAAGAAGCCGACTTAGGTAGTAGTAGCTTGCTTTTTCTAAAACCCCCTCTTTATAAGAAAGTCGCTATAGTAGCGGGATTAGAGCGCTCTATCTTATATTTTATATATATCGGGCGTTTTATTAGTAAGCTTACTTATAAGTTCTTTACTAGCTATTAAAACTAGTTTTATATATATTAATCTTAGCTTTATCTTAGGTCGGTCTTACCTTTAGTATTTTTACTAACTTTAATAGCTATAAAAGCTAAAGCGTATATTACTTACGCTAACTTTAACTAGTCTTATTACTAAGTAAGTAACCCCTTCCCGCTATAGTACTATCTAAGTACTAGCTATATATAAAAGAGCTCTATATAGCTTATTAATATTATCTTATAGATAGTACTTATATATATACCTTTACTTACTTTATAATAGTATAAGCTATTAACTAATAAATCTAATAGATATTTCCTTAAAAAGGGTACTACTTTCTTAAGGGAGTACCTTACTTCCTTTTAAGTAGATAGGAAGTATTATAGTTATTTTAAAAGTAATTAAAAGCGCGATAGCTAGTAAGAAGAATAAGGTTCTCGCTATACTAAGAGAGCTATCTATAAGACTAGTATTAACCCCTATAACCTTTATAATACTAGTTATAGCGGCGGTATTATTAATATAAAAGCTACTTTCTTAGCTAACTTAAGATAATAAGCTTAAGTCCTTTTACTTCTTCCTTAACTAGCTATAAATAAAGTTTATCATAGATAAGAAATAAGGCTTAAATAGCTATTATAATATAGTATAGTATTTACTCTTTTATATACTACTAGAGCCCTAGATATAGCGGATCTTTAGATTTTAAAATAAGGGTAGTCTTAAGGGTAAACGCGACCTATAGGACTTCTTTTAATACCTTATATATACGTTTAGTAATATATAAGAGCGAGAGAAGGCATAAGATAGGCTATAGACCTTTAGGTAAAGGGATAAGTAGACCTTTAGTAAATTCCCTCTTAACTTTAAAGAAACGCTCTTATAAGTAGCGGGAACTATAATATAGGAAGATAGTATAAAGCTTATATAGTTATAGAACTTAATTATATTAGCTTTATAAAAGCTACTTATCCCTATAATTATACTTACTAATTATAATAAGTATATAAGCTAGTTAATAAAGGTAGTATAAGGCTATAAGTAAACGCTATATTTTTAGAAGCTTTATAAGTATATACTATATAGCGGTAATAAGATTACCGCCCTTTTATAAAAGAAATAGCTAACTATTAATACTAATAAAGATACCTTAATATTAGCTACTTATATAAACTAAGCTAAATATAGTAAGATATTATTATTAAATATCCTTTATACTATCTTATACTTTAAGTAATAAGCGAAGTAAGTAATAAGTAAGGAAATTAAGAAAAAGAAAGCTAATAGCTACTACTTACGTTATAGCGCGTTTATATACTTTATATTAAAATACCCCTTTTTTTTTAGCTAAACGGCCTATAGTAGTTTAAGCGGCGAAGATAGAACCGCTCCTTACCTTAAATAATAAAAAGGACTTTATACCCTTAAACCTAAAAGAAAAAAAGTAGCTCTAAAGTAAAGATAGGCTTTAAAGCTTTAATTACTAGTACTAGTAAAGAAGAAAGAGGAATTATCCGCTTATATAAAAAAGGAGCCTACTTTAATATAAGTTATAATTAATAACTCCTTACCTATCGCCGCCCTTATAAATAAGGGCTATTAGTACTATACTATAGTTAATAAAGCGCTTATATAAGAGATATAAGTACTAGTAAAGAAGATTGCCTTAAAGCGAGTAAAGGGCGCTTTAAGCGTAATAAAAGGTATAGTAATTAAAAGTATTATATAGCTAGCTATAAAGGTTAATAGTTACTATAAGCTTATTATAGCTTATATAATCCCTTAACTAGAGTTTCCCTTAATCTTTAAGAAACCTTAGTTATTATATATAAAGTTATACTTAGTTTTATATTAAAAGAAGCTATAGTTTAAGCTTATATAATAATAAGTTTACTATAATAATAGTTTTATAAGCGTTAAACTAAGCGTATAAGCTTTATACTTAGCTTAAAAAGTCCTTACTTTTATTTTTATAAGAACTATATAATAAGTAGAGTAAAAGGAAAGCTAGGTAGTAGCTAATATAGTAGTTTATATAGTTAGCTTAGTAGATATCGATAAGGTCCTTTAAATAAAAAAGCTAAAGTTACCCTTTAAGCTATAGTAGTAAATACTAAAGTGCTTTTATAACCTCTTACTACTATTTAAGTCCTAGGAAGTAAATAAGCTTAACTTATATAAGCTAAGGGTAAACTATAAAATCGTACTTTATACTAATAAAAAAGGGTAGGAACTACTTATATTATTTAGACCGCTATATAGTATATTATATATAGAGCTACTAGTACTAAAAAAGATACTAAGGGACCTCTTAAATAAGGGTTTTATTTAAGTAAGTAGCTTTAAGGTAAGAGCGCTAGTCTTATTTATATATAAACTAAGGGGCGGGATATAGTTTTATTATAATTATAGGGCTTTAAATATAATTATAAGGCTAGACCGCTACCCTTTACCCTTAATCTTAAATATACTCTATAACCTTTTAAAGGTAAAGTAGTTTATAAAGCTAAATATAAAATATGCGTTTTATAAGGTATAGATCTTAAAGGGTAATAAGTAAAAGATAGTATTCTATATATACTATAGCTTATTTAAGTAGCTTATAACGCCCTTTAGCCTTTTAAGAGCACTTACTACCT